CTCTCTCCTGATCGTCGCCCGCGCCGGATTTTTCAACCACCGTAAATCAAAACTGGATACGGAAAACGCGACCAAATGTGTTCGCTCAATTCTCTCGCCAAGTGTTTGAAAAATTCTTCAGACTTTCAAAAACTTTAATCCCCGTAGAACCGAGGTAAAGCTCGAACGTGTAAAAAGTTAATCAAAACGATTGGAGCTTTTCGTAGATCGATAGCAATCTGACAAGTTCTTCGCTGAAAAGGAGGAACTAATTAACGAGTAAACCAGTTTCGAGTGCAAACGATAGATAAAGAATAATAAAGGAGTAACAAAAGAAGTATTTTTCGCTAACGACGTAAAAGAAAAGATTCGACAAAAGGCTGGATCATCTTTCTCGCAGGATCTGACGATTCGATAATACCTGACACGCGATGATCCTACCTTTCTCGAAAGCAGCCGCGCGGAACCAGCGTCCGTAACGAAGCGAAACACGATATCAACAACTCAGAAATACGCCTTCTGTCTCGATTTCGTTCGTAAATCAAAGAAGAGGCCGGATATTCTTACAGCATGGTGTCGATATCGGATCCCTCGGGTAGCGCTCAGCCTTCCTCTTCCTCCACTTTTCTTTCCCCTTCGTTCCTTCGTGCAACCTTCACCCTACAGGATTCACCCTCGAATTAAAAGAGCAGCCATTCTTACCTTTCCGCTACCCCTCTTCTGTTCTCACCGTCTTACATCTGGACCTTATTAGGGTTGCTGGCGAAGAAAAGGTCGAGAGGGAGAGAAAAAAAATTGAATGGATTTTGGGAATCGATTCCTCTTGGATACCAAGCGACGATTCGAGGGACCTTTGAACTGGGTCAGGATTCGAATCTACCCGGTGTCGATTTCCTTTGTAAATTTTGATTTATTCAACGGTCAAACATTGTAATCTTATTTAGATTAAGACTCGAGTTTCTTCGTTACTTATCAGGCATAAAATATATCGAATTTGACAGAACGCGAGTCGCGTCAGCTGTGAAGGATTATTCGAGCATGTACGGGAGTAGTATATCTCGAGGATTCAGCCAGTATAAAAAAATACGCGGGGTGAGCGACGTTCCAGACGCTTTTTGACCTTTTCCAGCGAATCGAACCCCCGTGTCCTTTTTCCATGGGATATCTACTTGCAACCAGTTTGCGGCTCTTTCCGTTCTTTTCGTTTCTCTCTTTCTGTTTTCCTACGGTGAAAAGCGGGGTAGCAGCCGACAACCCTTTGTTACCGTGCCTTATCTTAATTGCTTTCACGGGTTCCCGTTTAGATCAATACACACCAGCGGCGTTCCACCACCGCCCACCGCTCGGCCGCCTCCGCTTCGCGAATCTAAATTATCCCAAGGGTTGTTTCGACGAGGGATTTTCGATTTTCTCGTCGTCCCTTCCCTCCCCTCCTCCTCCTTTCGCCTACACAGTATACTCGGTCCCCTTTTGCATATTTTAGGATCGTTCGCTCGAATCGCGTCGTCCGGCTCGTTCGTTCGATCCGATTTACTATTCCTTTTACCAGATACGCTGAAATATTTGTAGGACGATGAAATTTCTACAGTTCCGTAGTTGCGAAAAACGTTTCTCTTTACGCTTCTATAATTTTCGTCTCGAATATCTCGTAACAAAAGGGTCTAACCGTTTACCAGAAATCGGAAGGTCACGACTCCGTGACCGTAACAAAGTATAATCCATCCATTTTTGGACAAAAGTGTAAAAATATTACGACCGTCGACCAGCGCGTATCTCTAAAATAATAGTCGGGTAAATATATCACGCGCAAGAAAAAAATTAACACAAATTTGCTCGTTATCGCGGCTCGTTGTTCACGCCGTGTCACCGGGATAGCATACGCGTAAAATGTTTGCTTTAAACGGCAGAAATGCCGTGTCTTTGTCGTCATGAAATTATAACCGGAGGACGAATTAGCCGGGCAATTAGCTCGATCTTCAACGGGGTGTCATATTAATGTAGTTCGCTTGGTAACGAGCCTCGAAAACTACGACCGTTGTTACGTTGTCGCGGGTGGTGTATGTTGGTATAATAACCGGTGTGACGAATACCGGTACTCGTGGTCGACAGGAAGCTAGGCAGCGAGAGAAAGGAAGAAACAGGAAGGGACGTGTGTCGAAAGAGAGAGAGAAGTAACGCGGAGGTAGAGGCAGACCGTCAGAGCCGTAAAATGTTAACTGCTAGTAAAACTGAGTTTACGTGCTTGTAAGGACCCCCGCAGGAGGTTAGCAGTCTCTGTGCCTTACCAACGCGGTACCGAGGACCTCCCCTTACACCCCTTAATAGCCAGATTATTGCCCGTAAGCTACCCCCGATTACTTTCTTCCCGCTCGATAGCCGAAAATAATTTTGTTATCCGACGCTTCGTTTCCGTTTCGCGCTCTCTTTGCCTATCTTTTTTATGTTCGACGCAAACTGTTGCCACTCTACTGCTAGATTTTCCGGATCAACGTTTTGTACACTACGCTGTACGTCGCGTTGCGTTATTTATTTCGGGTCAGAGGTTGCTCGACAAATATTTTAACGCGATCGATTTTAAAAGGATAGCAGCGTTTCCGTTTTTAGGACTATTAGGGAGACTGCTTCCGAGTAAACGAAAGTACCGTCGATGCTTTCACGGTGTTTTAACTTTCAATGGTACAACTTCTTCCTCACGGCATCGCCATAAACGTACGTTTTATTTCGTTGCTTCTCCAGCGAAGGTTTTTCATTTTTAATTACGGCGGCGTGAAAAGTTCTCGGCGTAGCTGTACCAACTGGCACCAAAGTTTTAACAGCACCCTCCTGACTGCTGTTAACCCGCCCTTTAAGTCGCCCTCGGACACTGAAAACCGCGCATCTTCGAGACGTCTTACTCGATATTATCTCCTCAAGTGTTCGATTCAATTCAACATTCTTTTAAAACGATCTCTGAACGTTAGAAAAGAAAATTTCGAATTCTTTTTTTTTTCGAATCTTTCCATTTCGTGTAAAATCGCCTCCGTATAAAATACAGGTTACTGTCCACGTTCAAAGATTGGACCACCTTATCTTTCCAGAAAACATCCAAAGCCTTTTACTAAACAAGACCAAATTCGACGCAGCCTAGGACTCTGAAAGATATAAGTTACCGTGAAACCAAAACACCCTATGCTCTCCCTCCATTTTCATTCCCCTTATGAAAGGGAATGTATTCTGTCTGAACGTACCCAATAAACACTTGAACCCTTTGATCGATTTAGCGAAAATTCTGCACACTTTTTCTGGAGGACCCTATGGAAAATATAAGCTGCCGTGAAACCCTGCGCTCTCCCTCAGATTTCATCCCCTATGTAAAACGGGATATCTTTTATCTGTATGCTCCCAATAAACGTCTGATCCCTTTGTTCGATCTGGATGAAAGTTTGCATAGTTACGTTTTAGGATTCTAAGAAGAATATACGGTACTCGAAAAGTAGGACACTCCGCGTTGTTCGCCGAATTTTAGCCTCTTGATATTTGAAATTTGGACGATAACGATGGACAAACGTTGTCGAACGCAAAGAATATTAAAACGCGGTTAAAATAAATTTTCTATCGCGCATCTTTCGAAACGATTCCCTCGTGAACGAACGAGAGAGATTCGTTAACGAACAGGTAGGCATTGACAGAGTCGGAGCGCGAAGCGTGACATCTTTCTCGAAGAAACGGTTCCCCAGCGATCGACTTTGCGTCTTCACCCTTTCCACCGCAGTCCCGGGAGGAATTTGACGCTCCAACCCCTTCGTTGGGGTTGCAACCCTAATTGTTACACTTCGTATAAATGCATTAGTTCCTCGCATTCGTTTCACGCTCTCGCGAATCCCAGCAAACTTTCACGCCCTTCTTCTCTTCTTTTCTTTCCACTCGTCTCTCTGGAGACTTTTTTCCCTAGCAATGGGAAAGTACAGTGCAAAAGAGAAGAGAGAGAAGGTCCTAACGAATTTAAATTACGACTCGAATGACCGCAAATGTGATTAATTCAATCCTCGAATCTCAACCAGGGAATATGCAGAATGGAAACGTTACGCGGCTCATTCTCTAAAGTATCGTGATATTTCTTTACCGACTTTAGTTGATACGGTATTTCAAATGTCTTTTTCTCTAGCTTTTTTATTCATTCCACGAATGTTTATTGCTCGATTACGTTTACATTCCGTGTAGTCTTCTCTAGAGAAAAATTTCTTTCGCTGCTGTAATTAATACTTTGCGTGCTCTAAATTTTAACCGTAAAGCGTTTGATACCGATCCTTCGAACTCTATGCTTAATACTAGCGATACTTGGAACGTACTACGCGTATTTCTTTATAGCCGTTGCAACTATTTATGCAGTTAGAGTAGAAAGAGAAGCAAGTACGTGACGTTTCGGTTGAAATCGACAAAAGGGAAGAGGTCGAGAAAGTCGCGCGTTTTACCCATCATAAAAGAATCAATTTTACTTCGATGTTCCCTCGTATCTTTATCCCCCTCGGTGCTAGACCCTTTCGTTCCCTTTGTCTTAAGGACCGATGTGCACGCAGTGCTTTAGAACGGGCTACGTTTCCACGGTGTAACCGTAGTTTTATTGTACTTTTACGGCGCATGATGGAGCTGGACGAGCCATAAAACCACAGCGTACGGAGGGAGACTTTCTTCTCTCTTATTCTTTCTTTCCCGCGTTCACCTCGTGTGACAGTTCTTCCAGAAAGATGCAGCAACCCTATCTCCCACGGTTTTCACCCTTTTCACGTATCAGCCGGCGCAAGTACGCGCGACTAAGCACATTGAAGGGAAACCCGTGTAAACTGTCACGCTTTCAACTGATCGTACACAGCGAATTTATGCATAACGGATAAAGTTAAGCCTAAGTTACGTTAAGTGCACTGGTAAGAGACGGCTAATGTCAGGCTTCGGTCAGGACGCACATTTCGATAAAATACTTTCAATAGAAATCGTGTTAATCGCGAAGGCAGAGTTTAACATTCGAGTAATTTTTGTCGTTACAGTGTTGTCGTTAAGAAACACTCAAGAAGAGGAACCACCGGATCCGCAGCTAATGAGGCTGGACAACATGTTGATCGCGGAGGGTGTTGCCGGACCAGAGAAGGGCGGCGGAGCGGGAGCGGCGGCGTCGGCATCGGCGGCTGCGGCTGCTGGACCACCTGGACAACCCGACAATGCCATCGAACATTCGGACTACAGAGCCAAACTCGCTCAGATTAGGCAGATTTACCATCAAGAGCTGGAGAAATACGAACAGGTTTGTCGGCAGTTTTACAGTTGTTTAATTCTCGGGTTGGCTCCGACAGCTTACGCGGTATTTCTCGACGTTAAAGAGATCCACAATTCACGATACACCACACTGGTCAGTTTGCACGACACGCGAGATTTTACTTAAACATTGGCTAGCTGGTCGGTTCATTAACACGCGAATCGTCGACCACCGACAATTCTCGTTTTGCTACCGTTCTATGTCCGAACGAGTGGAACAAGGGAAGAACGTCGCTCGAAAATTGCATGGCAAATCAAAATGCGCGACGATGCATCTAACGAGTACATATGAATATTATAGGATTAAAAGCACAGTTAGGTTGCCGATGAACGCAATCTTCGTGATCTCTACTCTCGTCAGGACTCACTTATCAACGATAAAAGCATAATTCTTTTTAACGCTTCTCTCGTGCGTCGCGTAGTCTCTCTTTTGCATACTTTACAAAACAACCGTTGGTGGGCCGTCATTCTCGTACTGTCTCGTATATTTGCGCGCGCGCGCGCTCGTGCACGAACCAGTCGACAGAGAGAGAGAAAGAGAGAGAGAGAGAGAGAGAGGGTGTTTTAATTGCCACACCCGTTTCGACCCCATATTTCACCGTGTGTCAGCGGTCTTGATGTTTCCCCGCAGTAAATACGCACACCGTGGCCTTCCTGCACCACCGCACCGGTCTGTACACGGATGCGTGTTGAATTCTTTGTAGACGCAACAATATGGAGGATGTTGCTACGCGGGGAGATGTATGTGCTCGTGTGGTACGCGTCGGTGCAACTGCAGTCACCTAGGGGGTAGTTGACGCCCTATCGATAAACCTGGTCATTAACAAGTTTTAACCAAGCTTTTTCTTTTCTCTTTCCTCTTCGACTCTTTCACGAGATAACGGTATAATTCGAACACTTCGATTTGGAACGTTTCGATGGTCGAATATCCGAATTATCCGTCATGATTACCGCTTAAATGAACGAGGTTCTCCGGAACGCTGTTCGGGCAGTTTTGGCGAGGTTGGATAATACAATGTTTCGAGTCTCGCGGTTCAATGTATTGCCGTGCTTAAAAGTAACGTTATTACGGTTGATATCGTCGCGGGGCAAAAGTTTTATCATAACCAAAATTTACTATTCAAACTCGGCGTAGAGTAAGTGCATTAGGGTGAACGTCTGCCTGACTATGCAGAATGGCGTGACAAGTACGAGAATAGAACCGCGGCGAGTTTTACGAGATCGCGTGATCACCGCCAGCAAACATCGTCTGGCATGAATTTTACCGATGCATGCTCGCCTTTATTTCGTCTGATTTTCGCCACAGATTTTAACCATCTTCTCTCCGATCGTGTCTGTTCGATTTTAAACGGATTTTCGTAACGTTTCGAGATTCACGAGCGACACGCGCTTTCGGTATTTAGTAACCGAATGATTTGTATCGAGTTCTTATAATATCGCCAGCGTGTATTAATCGGTAACGAGCAATAAGTACACGGATCAATTAAACGATATCGAAATAATTTCGGTCCCGCGATAATTTCAAAATTGGGGAACACAGCAACCGAGAGACGAGCATAATTCTCGATGGGTTTTCCATCCAATCCACCTACTCGAGATCGTCCCAAGCACCCTCCTCTTCCAGCGAGAAGCTGATCCACCCTACCGAGTCAGCTACGCTTTCGGTGCAAAGAGAACAACGCGAGAGAAAGGACGAAGAAGAGAAACGGGAGGTTGGATAGAAGAAAGAGGAAGAAGGACGGGCAGGGGGTGGGTAGGACGGGCAGAGTGGAATCCATTTCGAAATTGCGAGCCACCCTGTCCGACCTCTTCCTTCTACCACCTTCCCTCAGGAAAATCCACCCTCCTGCTCCCCTCTCTCTCCTTCTCTTTCTGTAAACCCTCTCTTACCATCTTTTGCCGGTATATTCGTTTCTCTCTCGCGCGCTTGGCTGTCCCTTTCTTCGTTCCCTCCGGAAGGTAGCGTGCCCGCCTCGAATACTGATATCGAGCAAAGTCCTTTTTCCCTTAAACCGAGCAGCCACCGGGAATAATGCATTATACGTACGCCTCTTTCTTCTCCCTTCTTCGCGCTGCTTTTCTGTCTCGTCGCTCTCTCTCTCTTCCCTTTTTCTGCTTTCCTGTCCCGCTTTCCTTTCGTTCCTTTCGCTTGCGGTTTCCTTCTTGCTTCTTACAGGCGTCAGACGATCGACGAGTTTTCAACGTGTACGGTGCAAAAAAAATGTTAATCCATTAAGGAGAAAGTTCTCCCTTTTTTCTTCGAATAAATTGGTATTGTGTGACCAGTTTATTGAATCGTAGCGAAGATGTGCGTGGAGGAACGGAAAGAAAACAGCTCTTTTCATCGAGTCTATCATACTTTTAGTTACGTTTTTTAATAACTAGACTATTATTATTATTATTAACATTTATTTCGATCATAGCTTGCTAGGAGCAAACCTTTTATCCCTCAATTTTCTTTTAACCTTGAAAATGTAAAAGATTACGAACAGTTTGTAGATTTGCGATGCAAAAGGGTACTTATACATCTAAATAGGAGTTAACGAATCGAACTTTTTGTAGCTTCGTACTTAGCAAATCCCTCGCTAAAGCCGTGGTCGCGCATTCGTTTTCAGGCGTGCAACGAGTTCACCACCCACGTGATGAATTTACTGAGGGAACAGAGTCGTACCAGGCCGATCACGCCGAAAGAGATCCAGAGGATGGTCGAGATAATTCACAAAAAGTTCTCGAGCATTCAGATGCAATTGAAACAATCCACCTGCGAGGCCGTGATGATCCTCAGGAGTAGATTCCTTGACGCGAGGTGTGTATTTGTTCCTTATCTCGGTGAGAGTACCTGCTTTTTTCGGTGAATTTATTCTGTTCCATTTGCTTCGGAATATTCCACAAATAGACAGGAGCGACGAAAGGAGAGAAACGTTTTTGTTTCTTCTGTTGCAGGCGTAAAAGACGAAACTTCAGCAAACAGGCCTCCGAAATCCTGAACGAGTACTTTTATTCGCACCTCAGTAATCCTTATCCGAGCGAAGAGGCCAAGGAAGAGCTCGCGCGAAAATGCGGAATCACCGTGAGTCAGGTAAGACGGAATGAAATTGTCTTAGCATCGTTTCGCCAAAGAAATTACCGGAATTTACGCGCTAGTTGAAATTAATCCTTCTCGTGGTCGAATCAAATTTATACGTATATTTTTATTATACAAATTGCTTTTACATTTAATAAGAGAATTAAAGAGACGGCATGTTCTACGTGCACTCCTTCTTCGTTTGAAACGTTTTCGGGTGGAAAGCACGGAGTAATTATAAGTGATACGCATCTTTGATTTTTATATACAGTGGATTCTTATACTGTCACTGACGGAATTGATCGACAAATATTCTCCTTTGATACTGCGAAAGTCTCCGACGCATTACGCCGATAGAAAACAGCGGTGTGTACGAAAGTCTCTGTAAAGATGGCAGTACAACGAATCTCCTGTATAAGTGATCGAAAATTAGATCGAATTTCGGCCCGAACTTTCCGTGGAATATGGAGAATTTTCTGTGATACGGCACGGTCGTCCGTTATACTTGTTTGCAGGTTTCCAATTGGTTCGGCAACAAGAGGATACGCTACAAGAAAAACATAGGTAAAGCACAGGAGGAGGCGAACTTGTACGCAGCCAAAAAGGCAGCTGGTAAGTTCCGTCCTTCGCAAACGAACGACGGGTGTTCCTTGAAGAGTTCGTTTCGATAAGTTGATCGATTTAAGAACACACGTTTTACTGTCTAAAGAACCAACAAATTTCTTGATCAAATCCAAACGGATGAAAGACTTGATTACTTTTGTTTTTGTTTTTGATCACGAAGCGCTTTCGATAAAACGACGGAATAATTAGCCGGATATAAGTTCTCATTTATACGCGTAGTAGGTTCGTTCAGAAAATTTCTAGATCACGTTGTAATACACTCTCTCGTGGTAGATTTTTTGGCGCTGTCGTCATGAAATAATTACTGCAACGTACTCGAAATTAGACCGAAGACGAAATTGCCTGGTCTGGCCGTTTCTCGTTAATATAAATCATTGCGTGATCGAGTTACTGCTCATTGTTCGAGCTCGCAGTGCCAGCGTTATTGCGTCTGACTAATAAATCTTTGGAAAAGAAACAAAATTATCGATTGGATATTTCTGTTTCTCCTTTTTGCGCGTGGAAAAATACTGCTAGTTTGCGAATCGGATTAACCATCGTTTATTTAAAAACAGATATACATATACATTAACCGTGTTAATTGCTCTGCAATTACTCTGCAGTTTATGTTACAAAATTACCAGTTTCTGAATTGTACAATCTAATTACAGTATTGTTAATTAGTACCTGACATAATTATACAGCGCTAAGGCGGTAACTAGTAACGAAGAAAATCATATATTTTTATAGGATAAGCAATAAGATTATAGGTTAGATAGTGGATAATTATAGTTCTGTAAAGGCTCAAAACTGAAGTATCATTTTAGGAATAAAAGCTATAGATTGACATACGTTACAACTTGAACAGAGATTTGTTAGACTTTTAAGTATGCATATATAATTTCTTGGCAAGAAAGGAGCGTGAATGATGTAGATCTTTTTCCAAATTTGTCGTGGATGGTTACTCGAAAGAAAAGAAGTTGAAAGGGACATAATCGGTATAAAACGAGAATTCAACTCGTGTTGTCTAATCCGTCGAGTATACTGATGCAAAACAATAAATGATAGTCCGTTTTTCTTCGTTCCTTCGTGTTTACCTTATCGCATTCTCGCAAAAATTAGAAGAAAAATTCTCTCTGTTTCCACCGTGAAATTTTTCGCATTCGCAGGACTTGCTTGCTCGCAATTACGCGTACTTCCCTTAACTACCGAGGCGTCTCTTTATTTCAGAGAGCGAGGCGAGATATTTTTAACTTACCAATTACACCGAGAAGAAAAAAAAGGGGAAAGGAAAGACGAGAGAAGGGAATGGGAAAGCGTTCTCCCCTTTCTTTCGACGCCCTTCGTCTGTTAGTCTTTCCTCGGCCACTTTTCCCGGTTCCTCTCGTAATTAAAGAAACGAAATTCCAGCGGTAGCGCTTCCCTTTGGATGACGGTGCAAATGTTTTCGCGTTTTCGAATAAAAATTGCTCGAGTTACGTGAGAACTAATTTCCAGGCTACTTTGCCACCGTTGAACGACCGATTTCATTCGGCGCCTAATCATGGAACGCAGTCAGTTTTCGCTCTAAATTATTTTTTCTCAACACCGTAATAAGTTTTTTTTTCTACACTGCTCTTAAACGCCGAATTTTTCTGTTACAAACGATCGCTTTCATCCGTTGATGGATCAGTAATTTTTGTCGACGTAATCTAACGATGTATTTGTCGGTCTGGATAATCAGTGACGATTGTAATAATCTGATCAAAAGTTATGAAAATTTCGTCCACTGCGTTCGTTAACCCTTTCACAATCAGGAACCTCGGTACAGGGCTAGTTATTCTACCTATCGTGAACGCAAATATTCTTACCCCGTTAATCGCTTCTCAATCAGGCGGTTGTACATTCGCGTGCATAGATTGCTTCGTTCGGTTATAGAAAATGACGGAGGACCTCTTGCCTGGTTCGCTTGGTCTTGCTCGAACCAAGTCGATACGTTTACGAACTTTAACTGCTGACATCTCAGAAACTGATCGTTGACTCGACTTGAAAATGTTCACCGATTCGTGTTTCGATGAAAACTACGATTCGACAGGAAAACAAGTTCCACAATCAAGGGATCCAGAAGGGGCGAATTTTTGGGTCACTCTTTGTCTCGCATCGAGCGGTGGAGCATCATCTATTTCTACGTTTCTTTTATCGAGAAAAGCTATCTATTCACGCGACTGTGTGCTTGATACAAAATTAATACGGCGCAGCTTATCTACAAAATCTAGTCGTTTCCATGAACGAATCGTGAACGAGTTAACGACAAGAGAACCGACCGACGTTTTGCCCCTAAATTCGGAAGCAGAAGCGTCAAGGTGACTTTGGTATAGTAGATCGAGTCACTGATTACGCGAAAGGCAATGAGAAACGAGCTCAAACGCTTTTAAGTTAGATGAAAACGTGTCAGTGAGGCGTAAGAACTTTAAAGACGCACCCTCGAATTTTGTATGCACCGCGATTGTTTCTACAGCAGCTTTTGCAGGAGCATCGCCGTACAGTATGGGTGGTGCCAGCCAGGGCACCCCGACGCCGATGATGTCGCCAGCGCCGCCTGGTGGGCCGCAAGACATGGCCGGATACGGAATGGGTATAAACGGTAGCGACTATGGCTCGCAACCGTACAACGACGGCTCGATGGGTTACGATCCCATGCACCAGGTAAATGTCAGACCTTCTCTTTCCCCGTGAATCGATTTCCCCGTAGTCACCGATCATTGCCTCGCTTTCTTCGATGCCTGTTTCTTGCATTCACCCGAGCATGCGCCTGTTACACGAGTAACCCCTCATGACGCTTCCGAAGGACTTTCTTTTGTCCGAATGAATGGAATGACAAAATCATTCTTCCTTCAAGATCGATCCATCGAACGATCGTACGGTTTCAGTGTCACTTAGCTTTGCTAAAAAATTTCATATTCAAAAATTCCGCCGCGGAGAAATCGGTGTTTGCATTTCAGTTTTCACGGTGTACATCCTTTTTTGAGACGACCTGTAATTTACGAGTTTCGATTTCCATTCATTCGTCAAATCGTGCCATTGCATCTTCATAAACGCATGCGCATCTCACCGCATATTCACACATATCGTGAGAAAGGAAGTTTGGATGACGGAGAGAGAACGAGAGAACGAACAGAGATAGGAAGAGAGACAGAGCGAATGATAGCCGTGGATGCGAAGTTTAATTTCAGCTCCAACTACCATACAGGGTGATTCAGACTGACGAATGTTGCGAACATATACCTTTCGTACACAGTTCATACAGAATTGGAAAAGTGCTGGTTCTACGTGCAAGTACAAATTTATGAATTGTGCTTGAACGAAGGAGCCAGTTGTGACTGTAAAATTTCAAACGATTTAAGTAACTCGAATATTCGAAATTGGAATATCGGAAATTAAAGTGTTTGAATATGGAAGTATTGAAATATTGGAAGTTCGAATACTGAAATATTTAAAATACACTTCGTTTGGTGGTTTCGCACGCTGTTAACAATTTGAACACTTTGTATGGAGTTAGAGGAGGAACGAGTGAGTAGGTAGCCGTGCAAGTAGAGCGTTGTTCTTAGAACGTATAGGATTGGGTTAGATACGCTGGTGTTGCTGGGTCATAAAGATGGACTTGGAAGGAGCCGATAGTAGAAAGTTCGAAGAGAGAGAGTGTCAGAAGGAGAGTGCACATGCGGGGCCAGCAAAGCAGCTAGTACCATAAGGGTTGCTTAGTATGCATTGGAGTTGCTAAGTCACTTTTTAGGTAGGGCTCTGCTCCCTCACATATTAATAGACTCGGTAGGTAGGTGTGCGGCCGCGCTTCTAACGAGTTACCTCTATTCGCCCGATGAAACGCAATGGAACAACATCCTCGGAGATATCGAATTTCCATGTACGCGGCATACTATTTGAACCGCCGTAATTCTCTCCGTTTCGAAAATTATTCTCCGCTCGGGGAATCCTTTTCGTCTTGTCTTCGGAGCGAACTCTATCATCGATATAAAGTACAAAGAAACGAAACGCGCTTATCGTCGTATCGTGTTCGACTCTTCGAATCCGGCAAATCTTTCTGACATGCAATTTCATCGATGTCACCCGAATAAAGAGTGACGTTGAATTAAATCCGCGTACAAACACGCGAAATCGTTTTGTTAGCTCGGAAATTTGTAGATATTCCCAATTGATTGGCGAATTAAATGTCCCTCTCGCCGATACACTCATCGATTCTCGATACACTTGGTTACAAATATCGTTTCGCGATGTACTCGTTGCAAAATACGTTTCGATAGCGCCATTAAGATAACGCAATTTGTTTAATCGCCAAATTACACGCTCGCAAATTATGCTCGTATATTTTTCGTTTGTTTCGCAATATTTTCCTCGGTTAATTCGCGACACGGTTTTCGTCGATTCTCAAAAATAAATCTTGTTCCGTGAAGAATCTTTCGCGAAGGACATCCGAGAAAACGAGGAGAAAGGTCTGTCTTCGACGTAGTCCGCAACGGCGATGTTTCGTTATTTTGGTGTCCCTTGTATCGCGTGCTTTCGACATTCGAGTCGCAGAGAAGTTCGCAAGAAAATTAATTTCACGGTTCATCCAGTTTGGTCACGGGTTCTCCACTCCCAAGGGGCGAGAACCAGCTCGAAATGAAGCGACTAAAATGCATACAACCTTCTCGGTTTCCGCCTTTTCGAATCAGCCTTGCTTCTGTTTCGTTCGCTTCTATCGACACTCGCCTATTCCTCGCTTCTTTCTCGTTACCTTCTCAAGCGTCCAAGTCGAGTGCTTGCGTTTCTACGGCGGTTTCGAGACCGCCTACGCGGAGCTTCGGAACTTAACCGCGTAATCCGTAACCAAATTAAGACACGCTGAGAGTGAGAGTACTTCGGTTTGCGCTTTATGATTAAATCAGAACGAGTCGATCTCGTGGCGACGATGAACGCTCTTGCTGCTGCAACTGGCACTAACGTTTCCGTAATTGCATTTATAACAGCAACAAAAATACAGTGATCGCTTACGCACAATTATACGAGCACCAAGATCTTTCTTACTCGTCGATCGACCTAACATACGCGCGCTCGATCGATCGAGTGTAATCTCGTTTACTACTTTCTTGTCTGTGATTTCATTTATACCCTTTTTTAATACGTATGTAATCTCGTTCTAATCGCTGCTGGTTGGTGCTCCGAGTCTAACAATACAAACAAAAAACCAAACGAAGAACTGTGTTTGTTGCAACAGAAATTTGGGGTGCGGAATGTCTAACCGTGTGCTCGCACGATTTTCAACCACGTTTCTACTTTTTTTTTTGTTTGATTCAACAAAAATTCAATAGCTCGGGCGGTTGTTTTTCCCCCCATTAATTGGCTGTCGGACAGTTGCACCTGCTTTTTTTTATCACGGCCCGATATCTACCGATAACGCAGATTTATTTTTTCTTTGATACGACACATAACGAGTTGAGTTTTTTAGTTCTTTTCGAAAGAAGTTGTTTCGGTAGATATCAACTTCTCTCGAGATTCGTTCACTGACGAAGTATCGTGAAACGAAAAGTCGCGTACAATGGAAGGTGAAAGTTTATCCTGGATATATACGTCGCGAGATTGCATCTCGAGAGAAGAGAAAAGTAAGCCGGTAGTAGTGATGGGCATTTGAATTTGTAGAAGTTGAATTTTTTCCGGTTGACGTCTACTTCTTCTCCATAGGGTATCGGCATAACTATACGAGTCTCGATTACGAAATTAATCGCGGTACACGTTGCACTTCCGGTGCGATAATTAGCCCATCACTGCTCCGCAGGCAAATGTAGGTTCGATTCGTAAAAACTCGCTAAGACAATCGCGTATTGTTACAAGCACAGTTCGCACGGTCTGCCATCTATTGTATAATACTGTCGCGATCGATTGGTCGTCTGTTCCTTGGTCTCTTCTACTCTCCATCACCTAACGATTTGACCGGGTACACGATATTCCTTCCACGAACCGTTCAGCTTCTCTCGATGCCCACGGATCTTCTCGAATCACACAAACCTTGTCTCGTTCGCTTACTCTCACGATCGAAGAAATTTCGTCGATCGGAACACGCATCGAGCAAAGATGATCGGTTCAAAGGGGATGGTGTCGAGATTCCTTTCCGTCGTCGTCCACTCGTTGGAATTCACTTCAGTTTTTCTTGTTGGCGCAGATGAAACGAAATTCTTAGAAGGAGACAGAGAGTGAGAGAGACATCGAATCAGACTTCACGCAAAATAGTGGGTTGAAAAATGAGAGTGAACATTTGCGCGGGAGAGTAAGTAAAACGAAGTATAAGAACGGACGGGGTGAGAGGGAAAGGTAAAAGACGAGAGAATCACGGAACACAACACCTGGCGGATACGAAAGAAAAGATAAAACAATAGAAGAACAAAAAAATAAAAGAATCAACGGCTACTGGCGTGTTACACTGATCTCGGCCTTTTGTGCTTTCTGTTGTGTTCACAGTGACGCGCCATGCCGGACACTAATGCTCGCAATCGTAGACTCGTCTTGGACTTGGACGTACCGGACTCGAGCGGGCACGTGTTTACGGTGTTACCTCTCTAACTGGCACGTGTCGACTTTGCGCTTTGCTCTTTAGAGAGGTAGCTGACAGTGTCCAAATTTCGTGTTCGCGTCTCAATTTCTCGAGAACTAGTTTTTTCCGCTTCTCTAAAGACGATTTGTCATTTACCGAGGTACGCTTGGAGATATACCGACTTCGGTAACTCGGTTTACCATCTGAATATTTCGATTTTATTCAAGTACCTCGTTAAATGGCACGAAGCGAGTCCACATATCACGACACTTAGAGAGGGTTTCACTCGTTCCTTTGAATTTGATGCTACCTGCGTGCTCGCGTCTGAACACGTCGACTGTCACGGTGGTCATTACGTGACTGTATACGAGTAATTGCGAAACGGAGAACGAAGCCATCCAAAATGAGAACAATGAATTTTGAACCCCTTTAAGTATAGCGATCTTAACCGTGTCAGTCAACGCGTGTGAAAGAATCCTGAGGAAGTTGCCATTTAGAGAGGTAGAAATGTTGCCATTTATAGAGGCAGCACCGTATCCTAGGCAGAGGAAGAGAGAGTATCCGAATGCGTGAAGAGTGTCTGAGAGAGTGTCACGAACGATGCTTCGTACGAGGAGTCGATGAATCAGAATAATTAGCGAAAAAGTTCGGATATCTCCGTTGCAACAAGCACAGGTCTGTCTCCTTGGAACTAACGAGACACGGACTCGTAGAGTCTCGAGCCAGCAGTCGCGATCTCTTCTGCTTTGTTTTTCGCAGAGATCGATCGACTCGTCGATAGTGCAATATACTCGTATCAATATTACATAGACAAGTTTGTACGCGTTTTTTTGGTACACTTGGGTTGATGGATCAAACTCTTCGAAAGACGTTTTCGTGGCGTGCATGATTGCATGTACAATTATTTCAGTTTATACGTGTATACTGGTCTTTACAAAAGTAGTACGTGTGTGCGTTTATCGTTATCTTATCTTCTTTTTTATTATTATTATTATTATTTTTCGATGTTTTTTGCGGGTCGATTGGCTGGGGTATTATTGGGTGAATAGAAATATAAGAGCGAGAAAGAAAGTGTGGTAGAGATCGAGCGATTGAAACTTCATATTTAGTTCGTTTTGCCAGAGATTCTGAATTGTTCGCGGTAGATAGTAGTATTAGGCGCCGGTTCTTTGCATTGGCAAACTTAGAATGAAAGGATCTCTCTAGTTTCGCTGTGTTGTTCCCTGTTTTTGCCCCGATCATCTCGATTAGAATCTATCGCATCACGTAGTCAAAAGTATCCTTTCGCGCTCGTAACAGGAATCGATGCGAAAATAAAAAAGAGAAACAAGACTGACGACGTTAGATACAAAGTTAACCCTTTCGCGACGATATCATTTTCTTCCTATTAAAGTATTAACCTACGGACGATAAATTTGATTTAGGATTCTACCGAACAAAAAGGACCTTGGAAGCAGAGACGACAGTAACTTGACAGTGACGTATTTGTAAGTCGAAAAATCGCAAGTTTCATTGGCGACACGGACGATTTTTATCATTATGTTAACACCATATTTGACGTCGGTACTCAGGAACGAGTAAGGCTGACATTGACGAGTGAAAGGGTTAATATGTATCTTTTCCGAAAAGAAATTCTTTTTAAAGTTCAGACGAGTATTTTCGACGTCTTGTTACGAGCAGAGCCGATTCAAATAGTCCGTGCTTTCATACAAAATCGTTTCCTCTCGTAATATTACAAACATGAAAAAGAAAGTCTTTCATCCGTGCTATTAAGAAAAAAAAGGAAAAGAAAAATATATATTAAATCAGTTTGAAAAACGTGGGCGAGGCTTTAGTGACCAATGACACGCAATTTTGTGGCCACCCGCAGGGGATAAAGACAGAGGGCTAAAATCACAATTGAAAACAATAAAAAAACAAAAAAAGATCGAACAAAAACAAAACAAAAAACAAAATGACGCAGGGCAAGGCATTGGCTGGGGGGCCAGGCGCGACGGGATGGATGCAACAACGCGAAGCGGTACCGGAATTTCCGCCGCTCCACGATTCAGCGGACTCTGATTCCGACCGAGAAAATGAGAAACGACCGCGCGTCTAAAATTACCGTTTGCAACGAGCGAAATAGAGAATTATAACGAAATCTAACGAGAGAAAGAGAGAGAGAAAGAGAGCGAACGAACGAGCGAGTGACCAAATCACTCGTAGAAGAAACTAAGCGGAGAGTGTACTTTAGAAACACATACACGTTCGATGACATACCCGTGTACACACACATACACACACGTGCGCCTGGAGAATAACGTTCGTTGACAATTGTAACGTTAATTTCCGATTTCGAAGCGTTTTTCTCTTTTTCTTGATCGAGGAGGAAGCACGATCGAGCAAAGACGCGAAAATCAATCGCGTTACTCGATCCCAAGGTGATTGTAAAGATTTCTAGTACTTTTTATTCGCGTCTTTGGTCGCGTCATCCTTCGATCTCGATACTTTGATCTTGCCTTATCGAGTGACTGTGCGCGGACATCCACGTCACGTGTATTTACACACAGAGGATTTAAAAGTAAACAGACAGAGAGTCGAAGAGAGAAAGGAATGGAATGAGAGAGAGGGAGAGAGAGGACGAGAGAGTGGAAAGGATGGTAAACGATAAGAGAAATTGATAGGGCAAATCGTGGATTTCTATATGAACATAGGTTCGCTTCTGTTAAGACAATATACGGCGATGTACTGACGTCTGGCTAAGGAGAGAAAGGGTGAGAGCGTATACAATCAATTAGTTTTTTAGTTTACGTATGCTATATATACACACACGTACACACACGACGCGTGGTAAGGTTCACGAGTTTGCGATATCGTCATGATCTGCCGAAATAAAATCGCGGTATATTTCTATATTTCTATGTGTCTATCACGATGATTTTAATGCGTCAGCCTCGATGTATCGTGAACGACGAAACAAAAACTATTGGACTTTACCACGCGCACACGTAAATAGAATTTAGCTTGTACAGATACTTTTATTCCGTCTCCTTTCTGGAATTTTTCTCGGATCTTTTTTGTCACAACCTATATTTTTTTTTTTTTTCTTAACACTCGATTTTGTTTTGCAAAAAGCGACCCCTAATATCTCGATATCCCTCCACTTATTACTTGCGTAGCATAATCTTATATGCTGGGTTAGGATTTGAAGGAACAAAATACGCGTATACGTATACAATTGCTCGTGATAGTCTCCGTGCACTCGATAAAAACGATACTTTTTAGTTGTTTTCGAAGTAATAATATCTATTTTATACGTATTATTCTATAGGAATATTTGTTCCTACTAAAATGAAGCTATTCGACAACTTCGTATGTTAATTTCAATCGGAAAGACTCTTTTATAGCGTGTACGAAGATACAGCGTGTAAGCGACTGTATATGATACTATTTTTTTTAACGATACGACGTTATTTGCTATGATATCTTGACGAAGGACTGTCGCTACGAGAAGATTTTATTTTTCTAAATCGGTAGGCAGCATTACCGATTTGAAACGATCCTTTTTAAATCTAATCCCAGCACCGTGTATCGTGTAATGCAAGCTCGAATGTCTCCTTTCGTTCGGTTATGGTTTAAGTTCCGAATATTAAGCTTCGAATTGATATTTTCTGCGACCACGATTGCGTTTTCGCGAAACGTATTTCTGCGTGCTAACTTTTCTTCCGTTTCGGTTTTTGACGCGAGGACACCATTATTTTTACAACGAGAAAAACATTACGAATTATACGATCGTCGTATCGGTAAATACCGAAATATTCGAACGTTTGTCAAGGTGTCCTCGTTGCGAAAAACTCCCCTGATATTCGTCGTTATTCTTTGTGTTACGTTGGAAAATTGTATGCATGATTGTACCCACGAGCGAATTGAGAAAGAAGAAAAAAAAAACAAGCTCGAAAGCCGTTTTCCCATCGTTTTTTCTTTCATTTTGTAAACAAGCGTTTCAGCACGAGATCTTATTAAAATTCCTTCCTCCTTACGCCATTTTTTTCTCTTGTTTCCGTTGATTTCATTTACCCGACACACACACGCAGCGTCGAATCCAGAATCCTTACGGAATCCTTTCACGAAGCGCGTACAAAATTTTACTAAAATAAAGAAAATATCCGTTGAAACGTAAAAATCGAAGTTTCGCGCCTTTTCAACTAAGGCAGAAATAGTGATTTTTAACGCGTTGACTACAACAACGGACGTGTACAATAAAACTGATCGAAATTGTAATTATTAAGCACGTGGATCGACAATAATTTCAGTTTATTACATCTGAAAATTTCGTTAACGAGATTTCGATTCTATTATATTTATTGCGGTGGTCATCGGTGATCTCTTTAGTCAACGCGTTAAGTCGACAAATGTTTGGTCAATATTAAGAGCGAAGAAAATATTTTTGGATATTCAGTTGATTTTGGAATACGACTGGATTCGACACTCGAGGTATACGATTGCGCCTGTCTACCCTTAGTTGGTCGTACGTACATACGTAGGTACATATGTATTGTGTATACGTTATATACATGTGTATAAAGATCTCTATATTCTGTACTTTCGTATATATCTGTATCATTCTCGTATATACCAGCATCACGATGATAACTTGCTTCCAAAAAGAAAACCGGACAGAGAAACGTAAGGATCGCGTTGTCTCGATCGAGTTTTCGAGCGTACGCGTGCATGAGACCAGTCGTCAAGAAAAGATATTTCCGGTGGGAAAGAAAATTACTTAGCTCCTCTAATTTCTTCGAATGACCTAAAAGTCCAGAATCAACGAGAGAAATTGTGTTTTTTCTCGCGCGACTATCATCGTGATGTTACGCTCGCGTACACGGCCGGTACTGTTTGCTTTCAGGAGCTGTCGCCTTGAAATACTTAGAAGAATCGCTAAACGAGGAAACGCAAAACGAGAATGAATAATAGGAGTTGTAGGGAAAATGCAATTAAATGTATAATGTAAGATGACGATGTATCCGTGAACTGAATGCTCTCGCGCGATCCGATCACCTCACTATCTGTGATCCGAGGCTCGTCCCTAAAAACGACGGGTAATACGAACTTATAAATCGATATTAAGCTATTAATGTTATGTAATACGTTCTAATAGCGAAGAAGCGTTCACGTGTTCTTCGCCGATGCGCCGAGGTAATCGACGAACAAACACGAATCATTTTCATCGTATTTGTTTGTCGAAGACATCTGATTTATCGACTGAGCGTAGACGAGCGACCGCCATATTGCGCCAAATTGACCTCTTGCCTTATAATCGCGTATACGATTATCGTTTGTAGGAACAAATCTCAATTTAGTAAGTAGATAATTAACCTTTTTATTGCTATTCGGTTGAAAAATTCTATACGCTTTGCGAGCATATCATTTTTAAGTTCTAGCACTGAAGCGTCGAAATTCCACGGAATCTACAATTTCTGTACTTTCGTTTAGCATTTTACGTTCGATCGTATGTCGCGAAATAATTCATTTCCAAATCCCGATTAATAATCGTTACATTGCATAGAAACGAAATAACGAGAGAAGAATGAACGAACGTATTAATTCGACATTTTGATTCGATTTTTTAATTTCACGGAGTTAGCGATGACATCGTAGGGCGAGAGGTTGAACGGAAAGGCAGTTGTTTCATTCGCGAAAAAGGAAAGAAACAACGTTCTTTTCAATCTTGATCTTCTCTTTCTCTCTTTTTATCCGATATTGTTCGATAATCAAGCGTGAACGCTTCTATGCATCGACACCCTTTTCCCCTCTCAGAGTGACCCATCGAAACGAAAAGACAGTAAGAATTAAAAAAAAAGAAAGAAGAAAAGAAAAGAACGATAAACAAGTAATGGAACGAACAGAAAACGGAACAGTAACGAAGCAATGGTCCTGCGACACAACACTAATGTATACGATTTTTCAACATGAAAATATGATATATTGTAGCTATACATATAGAAGTATATAAAAAAAGAGAATAGTACATAGGCAAAAAAAGTGTAACGGCTAAGAAGTACATCATTGTAAACGACGACGCTAATTAGTAAAACGGAATTTATTTTATAATAATTAATATTATGGTCGCTAAATATTATTGCTACTGCTATTACTATCTTTGTTATTATTATTATTATTGATATTAATATTTGCGGTTTATCGCGATTGCAATTGTATCATTAACGATCACACGAACAGCGATTTATTGATATTTTATGGATTATTGAAATTTATTATCGCGCCCGTTTGTTGGACGTATGTTTTTTAAGCTGAACGAACAAGAGTCGATGATAAGCGTCAATCTTAGGTGATTTCTATCGATTTATTAATACCATTTGATTGTCCACGATTTTTACTCGTGACGAATTTTGCGGCTCGACGGTTTATTACTTAGCACGTAGGGACTGAAGCGAAAACGAAAAAAAGATATCCATTTATTGTATAAACGAAAGCGAGGCGAAGGTGAGAATTATACGAGTATCCTGCAAGACGATTAGGTGGTTAATATTCTGTTGTTAAATAATATGTCGCGGGTGAAATTGTAGGCTGAAGATCGACCATTGAGAACTTAACGCTCTTTGTAAATTCTTTTCAAAAGCGACTTTCGAAGTATTTGAAAATGAGAGCAGCATCAAAATTTCATTTTATAGCGACAAATACGCGTTTCGTTTGTTTCCGGATAGTGAATCAGAACTTTTTTCAGAGTTACGTTTTTGTCTCAAAAGTCAATCTTCAGCCGATTCTGTCGCCAACCATGCGACCAGTACAAGTGCGTTTGGCACAGCTAGTATACGACAAAAAAAAAACGCCTAAGGTTCAGTGTGAGAGCGGCTTTAGGCGTCCCTTATAAAGCTCTACGTAACATTTAATAAAAGAAATGAAAACGAGTCGAGAGTACGACGGTCGATAAGGTGGAAGAAAAAAGAATAAGAAATAACGTTTAACATTTATGGATACACGATATAAGATATTATATATTCATATTTCCTCGCAAATCCCCTCCGCTCGATCCTTTCCTCAAATCATCCAGTTTCGTTTCGAGATAATCGACGATCATTCATGAAATTTACTCGAGACGTAAGTCGACGCTGATTTAATACTGCATTTATGTTTCACATCAGACGAGATTTCACCTTACTTTCCTCCACATTCGTGAAATTATTCGCTGTTTTTTTGTTTATTAAGCAATTCTATCTTCCATATGTCTTGAAGACGGTTAGAAAAATATCGCAGTTTCATGAAGCGTGAAATTTTATTTATATATTTCTCCTAATGAATCTTTCATTATTTGAGGATGCGGTGTACAGTGAAAAGTTTTGTACGATTAAAGAAAATGGAAAGAAAGTTGAAGCCACGTTTCGATGTATACGACAGTATACCACAGAAATTATTGTATCGATTAAAATCATGGTAAACTTAATAAAACGCTCAAAAATAATGTGGGTTCTATTTGTACAACTGCTTCACGTTATTCGCACGATATACCTCCAGTTATTTTTATATCCTTCCAGGTATTTACAGTTAATAATTTTCTTTCGAAACGAGTATTTTTTTTATGTTTGTGCTATTGCCGACTACAGGTAAATGGTGTTTAACCAGAAAACTTACTTACCGACCGAGGTAATTATACGTTCCAAAGAAATCCCGACGGAATTAACTGTGCTTATTTTTTAACGTAAACGATTACGAACTTCATCAATCGTAAATAAAAATTTGATACTCTGTCCAAAAATAAAATTGATTGTAATTAAAAGTTTCGCGTTAACTGTGTTGTCTCTTTTTGCAAGCACCGATGAATAGCAATTCGCAGGCGCAGAATTCTCCTGGTTAGGGGTTAAATGTCTCCGAGTCTCCTTAAACTTTTTCTAGGCCTAAATCCTTGGATTATTTCCTTCTAGATTTTCCTAACTTCTCCTACGATTTCCTCGAGAGTATCAAGTTTTCCTTAGAATCTCCTTAGGCGGTTCCTACATTCTCGGTAATTTCAAGTTACAATAAGCGATCGACTCGAGTCGGTACTCGAGTGAAATCGAAAAATAAGGTACACAGGTATTTTGAAATATTTTAACATATTATTTTATTGGTTTTTTCCTTAAAAAAAGAATGAACTTGAAATCGGTTTGTTGGGTTTTGGATTCTGGCGAGTAATGACTGGGCATTTCGAAGCGACGATACACACTAATTTGCAAATTGAACTAGCTATGTATATATATATAATATTTATATATATATATATATATGTATAAGGTAGGTATTTTCTCTCTCATTTACTGCATAATACATGAGTAATAATGCATGTTTACCTTTCCTGCTATTCGTACTCTTTCTCTCCCACTCATTTTCTCGTTTTGCACTATCGTTCGCGCATTCACGCTCGACACTGAACCGATCGTTTCCGTAGATTCAAAGAATATTCGAGTTTATTCATTCGTTATTAGTCGTTCAAACTGTTTTTCACCGATAGACTGGCGTCGGTGCGTGTAGAATGCTTTAGCGTTCGTTAAAGAAGAGAAATAATACATTCGGGTATTCGCGTCACGACGAACAAGCGAAACTGGAAACGTCTTTTGACTCGAGAACGAATTTTTCAACGGCGAGAACACTTGTAGCATGAATTTTCTCGTTTAAATACATATACATACACGTGTGTGTTTCGCTCCGTTTTTTTCTTCGTAGATAATAGTGGATTCGCGGAAAAGAAATCTAGTTCCCGTTTAACGAATATCGTTCTCGACCAATCGCGTTCTTCGACGTGACGCGAACAGGACGCGCGAAATTTAAAATACGTATAAAGGTACAATCTGCACTCGGTCGGCTTTCACTGAGAATAAAACGAATGTTTCCCTTTTGCATTTTCACGCATGCATACATCTATGTTTATGTATATAATATATATATGTATGTATGTATAAGTAATATACAGTAAGTTTACAAGAACGCGAAGATTGGCGGCATATTGCGCGACGAGACATCCTCTCGAGATTGTAACGATATCTTAAAGAAAGAACAGAATTTCGATGCTCGTTTACACGAAAGAATTACATCGAGGTAGATTAAACTATACGTATGTATATTTGTCGATCGTCGGTAATAAATTCACGTAAAATCGGCCGCCAATCGTCCGCCATTCATACAACTGGCAGCAGCACTCACAGTATTATATCGCTATACCCTTTTTAAAGTTAGTTTAGTCAAAGTTAAAGCTTTCAATGGGTTGTTTTTTCTTCTTCGCTTCGTTTTCCCCTTCTTTACATAAAGTTTATAACAATACTGCATAATACATGAGTAATAATGCATGTTTACCTTTCCTGCTATTCGTACTCTTTCTCTCCCACTCATTTTCTCGTTTTGCACTATCGTTCGCGCATTCACGCTCGACACTGAACCGATCGTTTCCGTAGATTCAAAGAATATTCGAGTTTATTCATTCGTTATTAGTCGTTCAAACTGTTTTTCACCGATAGACTGGCGTCGGTGCGTGTAGAATGCTTTAGCGTTCGTTAAAGAAGAGAAATAATACATTCGGGTATTCGCGTCACGACGAACAAGCGAAACTGGAAACGTCTTTTGACTCGAGAACGAATTTTTCAACGGCGAGAACACTTGTAGCATGAATTTTCTCGTTTAAATACATATACATACACGTGTGTGTTTCGCTCCGTTTTTTTCTTCGTAGATAATAGTGGATTCGCGGAAAAGAAATCTAGTTCCCGTTTAACGAATATCGTTCTCGACCAATCGCGTTCTTCGACGTGACGCGAACAGGACGCGCGAAATTTAAAATACGTATAAAGGTACAATCTGCACTCGGTCGGCTTTCACTGAGAATAAAACGAATGTTTCCCTTTTGCATTTTCACGCATGCATACATCTATGTTTATGTATATAATATATATATGTATGTATGTATAAGTAATATACAGTAAGTTTACAAGAACGCGAAGATTGGCGGCATATTGCGCGACGAGACATCCTCTCGAGATTGTAACGATATCTTAAAGAAAGAACAGAATTTCGATGCTCGTTTACACGAAAGAATTACATCGAGGTAGATTAAACTATACGTATGTATATTTGTCGATCGTCGGTAATAAATTCACGTAAAATCGGCCGCCAATCGTCCGCCATTCATACAACTGGCAGCAGCACTCACAGTATTATATCGCTATACCCTTTTTAAAGTTAGTTTAGTCAAAGTTAAAGCTTTCAATGGGTTGTTTTTTCTTCTTCGCTTCGTTTTCCCCTTCTTTACATAAAGTTTATAACAATAGTACGCGCGACTATTTAAAACCTCTACAGATTTTTTCTTTTCACTCGCACGCATTCGCACACGCCCATTCGTTTCTCTCGCATACGCGCGTACAATTTTTATTTTTCTTCCCCTTTCGCTTTCGTTTAACGGGTTGACCGTTGCTTATTACTTTAGTAATGATATTCAATTAATTGTGCCAACTAGCACGCGAAAAACTTGAATTGAAAAGTATAACGATCGTGTTCCGAATAATTGCGGTTATAGCATTTTACAGTCAACGAGTTGAACACTGTCGTCCAGCTTGTCATTCGTCGCGAAATTACGTCTTTCGATACACGCGTCTTACACACAGGCTGGTAAAAAAGTACGCGTGCGATTATTCGTACAGGTGACTCTAGATTTAAAAAGAAAGCTTCGATAATTCATCGCGTGAAAATGTAACCTCTTTCTTTAAAATACGTCGGAAATAAAATCTAATTTTGCGACAAAGTTTGTCGTAAATCATTGACTCCGATGCGTAGATTCAGCTATGAAAACTCCGATTCTTTCGACATCCTGTATACGTATAATACACAGCCAGTTCTTCGATTTACCTCTCGCGTTATGTCCTTTTTTCTTTCCCCTCAACGTCACTTTTTTCGATCTCTTACCGAGTCGATACGATCGCGAAAGACGTTCGTCGTGAAATACCGCTTATCCGTCTCGGTCGCGATGATTTTTCCAGTTTCGATCTTGCGCGTTGCCTACCGATTAAACATCCGCGAATGAAACTCGAAAAATCATGTCGACTAATATGACAAATTTATCGATTAACGGAGATTAGCAAAATTGACAAACAAACAAGCGTCGAGCGAAAAAAACTTACGGAAAAGGAAATTAAAACTTACGGGGGTGGAAATCGTCTTTCGCGGAGTCGATCGTTAGCGAAACAGTAGCGTACGATACATTTGTTGTACGACGAATGACCGATTACGATCGCGTGAAATTTCAATTATTTCTCGAATTAATTCGTACTCTTCGATCGTCTCAACTTCGCCGTGAACTAAGTATACCTTGCGTGACGTAGCACGCGTCCGACTAGGCACCGATATTTCTACTGTTACTTCCCTTGCTGCATCTACCGCGTATCGAATCAGTTTAGCAGTCTCTTCGGAAACTTAAGAAACGTTACTGGAACCGAAGTTTGATACATATATAACAATTTTGAAAACCTTTAGTCCACGGCGAGTTTCTTATTTTACGATCACGGAAGATTCAATAAGGGACCGGTGCAATTTCATAATCGGTCATGCATCCTCGCGTGTTCGTCGCGATCAGCCCAAGCAACTCGTAAATTGCTCTCGAAGAAACAGTTACTACGAATATATGTCTAATATTTGTTGTATCCTGTCACTTTGATCCGCAATGCGAGCATCGCGACTGTTCAACCTACTATCCTCTGTATCCTTCCATTTTTCTTTCACCTTCTTGTTCGTTTGCGTATTCTAGTTTTGTGAACGTGTAATATTAAGGCAACTCTTGTTACTATTTAATGATTTGCGACTTTCATCCTTCTCTTCCTCTTGTTTGACCCTTTGCTATCGTTCACCTATCTCTTTCACGAGTTCTGCAAAGCTTTCGTTCTCTCGAAAATACATTTACGCTATTTCTGTACATAGTATTGTTTCGTCGCGAGCACGTAACTCGGCCTCGAGCCGAGCAGAACTACATTTTCGATAGAGGGAGGGTTTCTCGAACGAACAACGCGGAAAGTGAACCCTTTCGGAGCGAGTGTCGAACCTTCTCCGAGTTGAAAATCGAAAAGGTTTCAGGGCTTTTCGACGAGGCTAATTATCGTGGTCCTCAAACAATTTTAAATTCGATGGACTCGATCTTCTCGACTCGACGACGAATTTGTCCCGTAGATTTGCCAGGCGCGCGAAACCGATGCACAGAAATAATTCGTGTACCTAAAATAACCGATATCCACGCACATCCGATTCGTCCGAGTAGACACTCGTTATTGTTACGTCAAATTATACGACAGAGCGTCTACGAAATCTATCGGCGAAAGGAAGAAATCTTTAGTAGCTACCGATCGAGAGGTTAACGCGTCCGCCATCGTGTTGGTCAGCGGTGATCGATGCTACGAAACGGTCAAATAATCGAACAACGAAAATATTAGGCGTTTTTCGATCTTTAATACCGAACGCGGGATTACATTATATCTCGCGAGCTAACAAACGGAAAGTTTAAATGAGGAAACGAAAGTATATTCGGAATTATAGTTTGTCCTGACGTAACAAACGATGCATCCCCTTTACGGCCATGCTCCATCTGCACACGCGTGACTAAACGAAGAAGACTCAGACTTGGATCAAGACATAACGTGTTTTCGTTTAAATCGTTCGAGTATATTTATACGTATATTTTTTTATACATAGAGAGATCTGGTGTAATAGTGTATCGATTTCGATTATTTGCAAAAGTATGAAACTCTACGGAGCTCCAGCTCATCGAAGAGCCAAGAGGTCTCTAGCGACGAATTGTTTTTATTTCATTCTCGCATTCTCTCTCTCCCTCGCTCTCCCTCCCTCTCTCTCCCACTTTCTTTCTATTATTTTTTTTTTTTTTGTTCATTTTTTTATCCCCTCATTTTCTTACGTGATTATTTTATTATCGACAGGGCATTCAGTGTCAAATATGTACGCTTTCATTTATTCGTTCGTACCACTTACATATATATATTTATATGTATGTATTTATACATAAATACATAGATATAAAATGCATATACACGTCTTTCTTATACGTGTACATATTATAGTATACATATATATATAAATATGTATATATATATGTATATATATAGATATATATATATATATATATAGATAAGTAGAAAAACTTAATCGTAGTAATTTTTTCCATTACGCGTTACTCCATTAAACGCCCACGTTTCGTCGTCGGTATTACACCTTTGCTCGCTTAATCGATATTACAAATAAATGAAGTTTATAATGAGAAATCGTACATGGAATTCGTCTCTGACCACTAAATGATCCTTCGAAGTTTCTGCTGTCTCTAGAACCGATGGAAATTGATCATCGAGTTCGCATTTTATACTTTCTACGAACGAGCCGAGAAGCATTTTGGTTATATTTTTGTTGACTTTTTTTTCCACCTATGACAACGTGCTCCTTCGTATTACCTGTAATTTAATTACACGTGTTCTCCTTCTCTTCGCGAACTCAGGCATTTCCTTTCGCTCGATCGAATCGTTTCTTCTTTCGAAAATAGTGTTCGTTCGCTTATTTCTTTGTTCGAAGTTTTAGCACCTTGCGGAAAAAAACGCGAATCGTTTCGATCACGGAAACTAGGTTAAACGTGTTTAATTTCAACGATTAGATAGATATTAGAAGATGTCGAAAACTGCTTCGGAACTGTACGCGTAGATAATTGCCGTGAAATAGAAAGAACGCGGTAAATCGAAGAAACTTGAAATTGAACCAGTTCGACTAGCAACGCGCAAACGTTTGTCCGCAAAGTGTTAAAAAACCTTTCTTCAAATTTCTTTCGAAGCTCTGTTAGTTTTTTTGAAACATTTTCATGTTAATTCTCGTCGTTGTTCGCATATGCTGTTTTCTGATCGAACGCGATCATCGTTCCCTTTCTCGCCTTGGTTTTATTTAAAAAACGAGATTGTTCTTTCACCGTTTGTTGTTCATTTTCTTTGGTTGTTGCTGCTGTTGTTGTTCTTGTTGTTGTTTTTGCTGTTGCTGTTGTTGTTGTTGTATACCGCTAGATAAGAATTAGCTTAATCACCCTCATTGTTACGGTAAGGTTTATCACTACGTTATTATTATCGAATCGCTGTTTGAAAGTTTAGCTTCATCCGGTTTTTGCTCGCGTCCGCGTTAATTAGCGTTCAAATGAGTTTATGTAGTTTCTTTATATATTTATATACTTAGATTTATACGTACATTCTTTAATTAGAGCTAGTATATGTATATATGTATATATTTATATTTACGATTTTTGTGGTTTATTTTTTACGCTAAATCATCGTTAAGAGCTTGGTCATATGCTTTGCCTTTACGACGCTAAAGAGTGTCTTGTAAGTTTGAATATTTCGACTCCACCGTTTGCGCGCGCAAAAATGATTACTTCTCTCCCTTCTACCGCATCTTTTATTTTATTTTTCTACGCGATTCTCAGCAGTCGATCTTCTCGTCATTTTTTTTTTCATATTTCACGACCATTCATTCGTCCGTCCTAACCCCGACGGTCGTTTTTGTTTCCTTGCCGGCTCTTCTCTCGACATCGGTACAAACGTGTATCGGGGCTACAAAATTATCGATCGACGGCTAGATTCTTTGGATATTATCACAGAAAAACAGCTTTTTAAGAATATTTCGCCTCTGCCCCGCATCGCGCTATTCTTTTCCCATTTCCAACGCTTTTGTTCTTAGAGAGGAACGGAAAATAAGTAGTTAATGTTTTAATTTAGGAAAAATGAAAAATATACAGTTCTCGTACATTACTTGATACGACTAAAAATCGTATACGTTTACTTACCGATAAAAAAAGTATGTATAAATATTTGCAGAAAGTCTGTCCGCACGTTTATTTTCTTACTAAAATAACATAGTTTAAAACGCACCGTCGCGGGAATAATTCTCTGTCGTTTTACTCTAACTCGATAAATGAAAACCATTGAAAGTTATCGAATAAGGTTAATAATGTAACCGAAAAAAAGAGAGAGGGTGGGAGAGAGAGAGAGGAAAAGGTAACGATCGTTCGGTAAGTTCGAGTAAGAAAAACAAAAGCGTCGGAATGATCATCGATCTTTTCACTCGTAATCCCTGTTCAAGGACTATAAACGTTGGTACATGGCGAGCTCGACTCTTCAACTTACATGTTTGTGTCTGTTCTCCTTTTATTATACTTATGTATTCTCTTTACAGCGACGTTTAAACGCGACGATACGAAATACGATTGAGTTTATAAAGCACTTAAGGGAAAAAACCACGAACAGCACCGACTGCACTTCGTCAAACGCACACCCGCGAGATTCTCGGTGCTTTTTACCTCGTTTTATTTTTTATTTATCGGGGTGACGGAGGTTTCATTTACTTTATTTCCCCTCTTTGTTCATCGTAATGGCACTTTCTTCGGCGCTTTGCAGTACAATACGTGTATACCATTGTCAACGCGCCTTAACTACGACGATTCACAGATTTCTTCACGGATTCCAATTGAAACGAAAAAGCGGATTTTAAAATTGCCCGCAATTTTTTGTTCAAAGGATCAGCTAACGTTCTCTCTCTGGTTCGTAAAACACTGGAATGTAGATAAATTAAAATTAGTAAGCTGTTATCGATAAAAATTTGGTAACGTCAGAAGTAAAAGCAAAAGTTAAAAGAGATAGCAGTCTCGTGCGAATAAATCTTTGAATCACCGTACTCGATTTCGATACCTTTTTGAACAACGCATATGAATTAAAGAAATATGATCGACAGCCAATAAGAAACGAACGTGTTCGATCGCCGAGAACCTCGAAACATAAGTAGCATTCGCATATTGTCGACAAGTTTATCCTCTTTTCGTCTCTCGCACTCGATCACACGCTCTCTTTCATCTCTCCGTCACGCTTACGCTAATCGATTAATTAATTAACGATAGTTCTACGTATGTCCACGCGTTCAGTCGAAATCCACGCGCGCAGATGTACGCGAGCAAGCGTGAAACGTGGTATCGAGAAAAAAGAAAATGAAAAAAAACAAAGGAAATCGATTTAAACCATTTCTCGATCGAAATTTTCTTTCACTCTTCTCATTCTCACTTTGACGGCATTCGCATTTATTTACATCTATCTACGTATAATAAGATGTTTGTGTATACGTGCTGCGAAAAAAGACGTACGTTCATTAATATTTATATGTATATATATACAATGTACACTCATGTATCTCGTGTGTGTGTTTCCGTTGAAAAACACCCCGTACAATTGGCAGTATGTTACACGTGTTTCTTCTTTGTTATTTTTCTTCTTTTTTTTTCTTCGCGAAGTTTCCTGTTTCTATAATTACATATTTAAATCCGACTCGGCTACGCGCGCGTTTATTTAGCGATCGTTTTATGTTCCTTTACAACGTAACGTATGCGTGGTATATGTATTATGTATATGCGTGTACAAACTGTTTCATAATACGCGGAATCAATTTCGCCGACAAACGAATTTATAAACTTTAGCGTCCCACCGCTACGAATTCAGCCGAACAATTGGAAAACGAAGAGAGAAGGAATGTCGTTGTAACTGCATCGCGACGCTAGATCCTAGCGAGGCTCCCCTATCATAGTAGAACATCGAGGATCGAACGTCGCCGTATCGAAGAAAAAAGCTTGTCGATTGCCAACTCCGAAGATGGTCTTAGAGTTCTGTCGGTTAGACAGAAGTGTAGAGTTACCGTAGTTAATTTTCGAAGATAGTTGACCGCGAAAGCGAATCCCGCGTGTTACGAGTCAGCCAGTGCGTATGGTTGCTCTATCTGTATTTATCTTACGTTAAAGCGCACCGATGAATTCGAAACGACGCGTGTACGTGTGTATGTGTGTTGCGTGTGTCGCGCGAGTGTTCGTGTGTCGATCGATCGATGCATGTACCAGCTTTTTGTTTCCTCCACGCGGTTCGTACACCTAATCGTACACATTAGTTTACAAGTAATAACGGTAGTAGCGATGTTCGTAATTTATTAAAACGTTTCGGTAATCGTAGCGTTAGTAAAAGTATTAATAATAATACTATTAATAATAGTAGTAGTAAGTAGTAGTAATAATCGTAGCAGTAGTAGTTTAGTAGTAAATAGCAGCGGTAGTAATAGTAACAGTAGTAGTTAGTAATAGTAGCAGCAGCAGCGATAGTAGAGACGAGACGATGATGGTGAGAGTGGTGACGATGGTGAACGGTGGTGACGGTGGTCGTAGTGGTGGTGGTGGTGGTGTAGTGGTGGTGGTAATAGTAATAGTAACAATGGTAGTAGTAGTATTTGCAGTAGTAAATAGTAGTAATAGTAGTGTAGCGGTAGTATCGACTGGTAGTAAATCGTAGTAGTAATAGTAATAGCGGTAATAGTGGTGGTATTAGTAATTAGTAGTAGTAGTAGTAGTAGTAGTAGTAGCCGTAGTTATAAATTAGTAGCGGTAACAATAGTAGTGGAATAGTTCTTTCACGTAGGTGGTAGGTGATAGTAAACGGTAGTAGCAGCGATGGTAAACGTTTCGAGTCAAAATTATGCGATATTATACAAGTGCCGGTGGATTTTCCTCGTATTTCTGTTTTTTTCTTTTTCCTTTTTAATCTGCCCTCCCACGCTATTCGTCGCGGCGCGGCGCCTCGCTTAAACCTTTCGTTCCTCGATCTCTTCCCAGCTCTTTCTCCTCGATTTCTCGTTGTCGTCGGCTGCGAGAGAATACGGTACAACGACACCGCGCTCGTCTTCCTCTTCGCCTTCCTCCTCCTCGTCGCGATCAGAGGATTAACGGCGATTTAAGTAAAAATTTCTACGTACGTATTTTATTTAGTTCGATGTATCGTTCAACGTTTTCAAGCTTCGAGCTACGAGACAGTTAAAGTTACACGCCTCTGAAATCGCGTTCGACGCGTTCGAAGGCGAGGCCTGACTCACGGGTGGTGAAAAGATTCGCGAAAGAACAGCGAAGAAAGAACACGGTACGAGTAGAAAAATCGCGGTTACTAATCGTAAATCGGAAGAAATCGTTGGTAACCAGGATTTCTTCGAATCGTTCTAGCGGAGAAACTCGATCGTTCTTTGTTGTTTTTTCTTCGCGATCTCTTTGAACGCGAAACGGTATTCGCCAACGAAGATTCGTAGCCGTTCGTTGATCAGTCCTGTTACTGTTCCCGTGACTTCGATGACGAATCGTATTCGACGCAGCTTCAAGAGAAATCAAGACGAGACCATTCGAAAGAGGATCTTTCGGTCGAGAGGGCTGGTTCGCGCGCAACCGACAAACTTCTCTACGAGCGTGAAAAATTCGATAGCGCGAAAACGAATTTTCTAAGCGTTCGCGCTCGACCGTTCCAGAGCGGTTTCGATCGGTATAATCGTATAAAAAGTGAATCCTCCTCGGCTCGGTCCGTCGATCGAACAACGCACAGCGAAGGAAGCTTCGAAGTTCGTAGACGAAAGAAAAGTCTCGCGTGAGAATAGAGGAAAGTTCCGTGTAGCGTCTGGCGCGCGCGTAAACGACACTTGGGATTTTTCGCGCAAAAAGATTCGGAATATTTCTTCGTTTACGTTCGAATCGGGGATCGCCGTTTCGCGGCACACGTTCGCTCGAACGTTGCCTCGACGATCGTTCGTTTATTACGTTGCTCCGTTTGTCCCTGTAACGATCATCCGATGTGGCTTCCGTTTCAGTCGCGTAGCTTCTTTGGAATCCATTCGCCTCCCGTCGTTCACCGTTGCTTCTTCTTCTTCTTCTTCTTCTGCTTCTTCTTTTTCTACCGTGTCGCTCGAGCCATCGAGCGTTCCTCGAGCGTTTTGCTTCGGTTCCATCCTTCGTTTTCCGTTTCTCGTGAAATCGTAACTGGCCATGTTCCAACTCACGTTATACGCGTGCATCTCGACCAAACGAGTCGATCGAGTTCTGACGAACTTCGAACCGATCGATCGATCTTCGTTCACGTTTTCGCGGCTAGATTAATGCGCCTTCCGGTGTACGGAAGATTCACGCGCAAACCCAAAGACGCCTGGGGGCGTCCACGTCACCGGACCACCGTCCAGGGTCCCACTTTGGCTAGCACCAGTCATCTTCGTCGCTGTCCGAGTGTCTCGACCTACGAATCGAAGATCGACGTTATCGATCCGAAACGTTATAGAGCGTTATAAGGTAAGTTTACCTGGGTGTTCTCTGTTTCGCCTGCGGTTGAGGCTTGTAGCCGTTGGGCACAGGACTCGGCAGAAGACGACCACCGCGACCTATAGTCACAGCCTCCTCGAAGCTTAACGGATAGTGGCTCGGTTGCATCGGTGGCACGTGTCCCGGTGGTGGATGCTGCATACTGGCCGGGATGGGCACGTGCGCGGTTGGCATGTGAGAGCCATGAGTCGGCGAAGCGTTCAACTTCGGAAAGTTGATGTTCGCCTGCTTCTTCAGCTGCAACGTCGACGGTTTGTCCGGCGTCGGAGGCAACTGACGACCCGGCACTCGCCTGGCCACCAACACCGGGTAACTATGCTGATGGGGATGATGCCGATGATAATGCTGGTGCGGATGAGCAGGCTGACGACCACCGATAGGACTCGGACTCCTCGAGCGTTGCTCCAGGCTGGTCGTTCCGTAGTGACGTGCTCGGTCGATGTGGTGAATGGGACTCGGTGTCCTCGCTGGACTGGTCGAAGCGCTCCACGGACCTGCTAAACGTCCTGATTAACGTCCGCGTTCTCGCGATCGCTTCCGACTGGACTATACTCTAGCTGTCCTAGGAAACTTTTACGAGATAACTGGACAGGGATCGCGAGGAATCGTTTCGCGGGTAGGAAAACGTCTTTCTTATCGGGACTAGCTAACTATCGAGTCGACGAAACGAAATTATCTAAGGCCGATCGAGTCTGAGTCTCGGGTTTAGCGGTTCAACGTCTAATCGATCAACGACGAAGGTAACGAAACGAGGATACAGCAAGGTTTCGTATCAATCGACATGCCGCATGCTAGTTCTCTAACGATACAAAAGTTCTTCGGAAGGAATTCCAGGATACGTGCAATCTCTACCAACGAAAGATCTACGTGATTTTATGGAAAAACTGTGTATCTACCGATCTTGGAGAAACGTAAGATTACGCGGGTGCCTAAAGGGTGCAAGTGTGCTCGATATCGGAAGCGTGTGTTCGACGAATCGTACAACTTATAAATTGCCATTAAAAAAACAACTTGTCTACACAGTCGAGAGAGAGAGAGAGAGAAAAAAAGAGAAGAAAAAAGTAAAGGAATAGCGAGGAAGAACACGCTGCTCGACGTGTCTAATCGTGTGTGGCAAAAACGAAGCGTTAATCCGTGTGTCTGTTTGCTGTTGTGTCTATGGTAGAACGTGTGTGGGCAGATAGACGGGAGAGAAAAAAAAATAGAACAACCGTGGAAAGCCAAACGATCGCAGTCGAAGGTACGTAGTAATAAATTAGCTTCGGAACAGGGAATGAAACGGAGTTGCGAAAGAAATTACCATCGTCGTAATAGTCGCAGTGGTCGTAATAGTCTTTGTAGGCGCATAACAGAACAAAACGAAGAAACGTATTACATCGAGTGACATAGAGCTTTCTGCCTCTTGCGAGTAAACCATTTATAGCGACATTCATATTTGTCGAAAATCGTAGCTACGAATCCCTCGTTTGTCCGACAACGAGCCTTTGAACGAAACGCGATTCGTGAAATTGCGGCGTAACTCGCGAAACGATCGGAAAGAGAGATTCGTAGGTCGGATTTCGTAAAAAGGACTTATCGTTGCACCCGTGTTTTCTTCGTCGAAATTATCATTGCTGTCTTGTACCTCGCATCCTGTGCCGATGATTGTACTGTGACGAATGGGGATGATGCGTGTGTCTCTGAATCTCGACGACGTTGCTAACCGTGTCGCTGAATCCTGGTCCTTCGTGGTAGTAATGACCGTGGTCGTGCCTCAGTCGCCTCGGCGATTGCGATCGGTGTACGACCGGCGAGTGTCTTCTGCGAACGATCAAATTTATTCGATCCGGCTGTAAGCGACGCAACGCGGGGATAAACGTCGTTTTACCTTAGACTCGGTGAACGCGATGGGTGTCTGACTGGATGCACGGGTGGATGAAGTCTCTCGCCAGCGTGTGTGAGACTCTCTAGGCTACCGGCGCGCGAGTCGCTAACTACGACGTCCTGAAGCTCCATCTAAACGAACATACTCGTCGGTTAGACGACCGTTCGAGGAACGCCGGGAATCGAGGGAGTTTCAAGGAGAATCAGGGTGTCGATTCTTTGCCTTCGTTACTAACGATTCGCGCCTCGAACAAACACATCTTTCTCGACTTCGAGACGCCTTTTGCCTCCGACAAGCGAGACCTCTGCGCGAACTTTCGGCCGCCGCGAAACCGATACGAAACTCGAACGATCCTTTTCGTCGTCGATCCTTTTCGTTGTCTCCGTTCGCCGAAAAATCGAGCAGAGGTTGATCGTGATCCATGCTGGACCGATCAAACGATAAACGGCGGACGATCTCGACGATGAGAACGGTCGTTGAAAGTAATACAGGCACATGTACGGCGCGTGTAGAAGCATGCAGTCAAAGATTCTCAGGCATGCACATGCTAGCTGAGTAGTAATCTCGAAGTAGTATCGGTGAAGAAGAAAAAAAGAGAAACGAGTGCGAGTCTGCTACCTTCGAGCACCTTGGAGACTCGTTTCAAAGGTAGCTCGCGTTACTTACCCGGGACACGGACATACATGGAACTATTTAACGAACAACAAGACACACGGAGAACGAGGCAGTCGCAGCTCTAACGCGAGTGCTTCGTTGCTCTCGAGAGTATATAATCTCAAGGCTGAAAGCAGCTAGGGAGACAAGGGTGGGGTTATCTCTAACGTCCACGTCGAACGTTCGCTAAAGAATTTCGTAGTTGGGATATAATGAGGCATGGATGTGGGGATGTAATCTAGGGTGGTGTTCTAGACAAGGTCGATTCTAATCGATGTATGTACAGTTGCGCTAACGAAAATCGTTCAAGATCGACTCAAGATCGACTCGGGAAGGAAAGAGAAACTATTGCAAGATAGTCGGAGAAAGAAACAAAGGAAAGTGCAGCGCGTCTGGTCGTGAGTCGATCGCGAACGTTCTAAGAAATGTGGAATATCGCGCGCGATACTCGTCTACGCTTCGATCGACCGAACGCGGCTCTATCGATCTAGATTCTAACCTAATCTAACGTGAAACGATTACGAGAGAAAACGAACGGCCGATCCAAAGGCGTTCTCGATTCCGTCTATCAGGATTTTCTGTCGCAAACTAAACTAAAGGATATCTTCCACCCGTCTAATGTCGCGAATTCTCGGCATCGAAGCTGATCGCGATCGACGATGATCCGTTCTAAACGATCTAAATCTACGAAAGCGTGACGTCACATTTAGATCTATGTACAGACTGTCTTTCGATAGATCTAACAGCACGAAGAAAAAAACAATACGCAACCCGATCGAAGCGAGTATCCTCGATCTAGCGCGATCCAGACACGTGGTAGCCTCGAGGCGTTAGAACTCGTAACGAGAGTGAACGATCAAAGGTTACAAAGAAAGTGGTGCTCGTTTAAAAAGATTGTTCGTTCTCTATCGCGGCCGATCGAGGGCGGGTGTTATCGATATCGAGATGGATTTTAATTGAATCGAGCCGAGAGACCTTGTGGTAACGGATCGAGGAGCGAGGTGCGTAGGTATTCTGGTGTTGATAATACGAGGGTGGTCGGTGAGCATGATGATGATGGTGATGGTGATGGTGGTGGTGGTGGTGGTGATGGTCATAGTATAGATCATTGTCGGTATCGTAGTATTGGTCGTGATGGTGATGGTGGTAGTAGTAGTTTTGATCCTGCTGGGAGGGCACCTCAGCCAGCAATGGCTCTAGCTCGGGGGCGCGATCCTCGTCATTAACTACGGGTACAACCCCAGACCCACCCCCTCCCTGGCTACTCTCTCCGCTGCTGCCTAGTATATCGTACTGGTGGGACATCTTCCAGTTCACCTTTTTATTTCTGAAATCAGAACGAATTAACGCGCGATTAACGATCGCTCGAATCATCGACCGAGATACGGAAGTTTAATTCGAATACCTGATGCTATGTTGTCGTCTATGCTCGCCGGCTGCGAGGACCCCGAGGGCCCCGTCGTCTTCGTCCATGTGCTCCTTGTGCAGATCGAGCTTCGTTTCCGGTGTCGGCCGTACCACCGGTTCGAGGCTGTTCGCCCTACTTCCGGTCCCGTGATTATTTCCGGTATGATTTACCGCGGTCACATCCAGTATGCAGTCGAGGAAGGCCGATTTCTAAATGCGAACGTGCGAAACCATACCGACTATCAGAACCGCTGCTCGACATTTTTTTTCTACGCGAAATTTTTCTTGTTCGTCGATCGACCATTAGACGATCGTTCGATCCCCATTTTATTTATCACGTACGGTATGTACAGTCACATACAGGCTTTCGTTTCCGTTTCTTCATCTTCTCTCTCTTTCTTTCTCTCTCTCTTTCTTCGGTGCATCCGAGTTTCCGAAGAAAAACAACGACAGAAATTTTATTCTTGTTCGAAAAATAAAGCCCATGCTAGAAAAAGAGTATCGTGACGGTGCACTTGAGAGCGTCGCTAAGAAACAAAGAAACGTTTTTTTTCTAACGGCCAGAAAAAATACACCGTGTGTGTGCGAAAATATACAATATAAAAACACGTTAAATATTGAAAAGTTACATTAAAAAGTAGCAAATTTATTCGTGATGGTGAATATCACTCTGGTGAAGCCTGTATATGTTTGTTAAAAATTGTATCTTATCTATGCAGGCTGTTTAAAAAGGGGGCTTCTAGATTTACTTCTTAAGTAAATCGACGAAACGTCTGTCACGTTCTTACTTTTATATTTATACGAGTAAGAAGTGTTTTACGTGTACTCTTACCTCTTTAGTTACAGGGTCTGACACTTCGATTGCCACGTTACGATCATACTTACCCGATTAAAATGTACGACATACGATGATTGATCTCCGTGGCGATCAAAGTGTCAAAGTGTATTCTTCGAATAAGATCGGTGTAAATATCGAAGTAAGAAAGTAAAAGAAGAGTCGCTTATGATTTTCGAAGTTGTCATTAACGCGAATCGATTGAGCAGACCGCGAATAAAGTCGAATAGTTCGAATCCCCGTTAGTTAACCATCGTAGGTGTCAACCCCTTTTTCAACATCCTGTTAACCGTTATTTTATTTATTGGTCAAGTGTTACGAGTGAGCGTAAAGTATCATATACATATATATAATATATGCAAATAGATACATATATTTACTTGTCACGTTTACGGCACTGTGGGAATGTAAATGTTAGTAAGCATGCAACAAAATGCACCAACCATCGACGTTCCTCCGTGCGTTCGTTGCAACTTTTCAAGTTCGCGAAGTTTATCTTTTGTAAGGAACGAGAACGACGCGAGGGAACATCGACGATTCGCGAGTCTTTCTTCGGGGATATATCAATACACACATATGCTAACAAGTAGTGGACAAACAGAGTACATAAGCCAATCACAAACGAACAAACGTGACGGGAGCTAATCATCGTTGTCAACGCACACAATAAGTAGACGTGGGTGTAGGTTTTACTCGAGGTATCTACGTGCCTACGTACGTCACTCTCGGCTACAATTTCTCTACCTTTTACCAATGTTACTTTACAAAATTGCTACAACGATACTTCGTCTACGATGAAAATTACTTGAAACACGGAAGACATTGAGCCTTCCATCGATCGGCAACGAAAAATATTTGCGACGATCGAGGCAATTTCTAGCGCCTCGTTTTATCGTGCAGCGAATAATCTTCGTTGGATCGCGAGAAAAACATTTGGTTGTTCACAGCATCGCTTGTTTCGATAAAAAATGCCCGTCACCGAATCTTCTGCGGAAAAAATTGGTCAAATCTAGCTACTTGATCGTGTACGGTATTTGTTTCGTGTCGGTTGTCTGTGTGTTAAACTTAGAATCCACTACGGGTTGTATTTCGTGGAAAGAAAATCGTGTTCGAGGGTATATATAAGCCATCGTAAGAGAAACTATTTAGCAAGGCAAACGGATCTACGGAAACTCGATCATTGTTCCTTAACAACAGTTTCTACGCTACGCTGCTAATCTTCGGACAGTATACAGGTTGTCTCGGAAACTATGTACACCTGTACAGGTCAGGAATTCTTCGTGACAAAACGAAATCGAGAAATTATTTATCATTTTACTGTAGCCGCCGATGCAATATCGAAAGAAAAAAATTTTGCTAACTCGATACTAGTTGATTGTACTATAAGGGTAAACCATTTCACGATTTCGTATGCCACGCTCTATTCATGTCTTCCGCGGTGTACATCAGTCTCGAGACAACTTGTACGTAATAGACAGACGAGAAGAAAGATAGTATCCAGTATGTCTAAGAGTGCCGAAAATCTAACTCGAGGAACGCACGTCAACGTCGATTCTCTTCAAAATCGTACGTAACTTTTGTACCGCAAAAAATCTCGAAACAAGAAGTGGGTTCCTCGATCTTACTACGTTACTATCAAGAGCTCTCGAAGGACAAAATAAAACCGTAAGTTAGAGACAGACAGATATTTGCAGGTAAGTAAAAAAAAAATGAAAAGAAAGAATAAAAAAGTGAAAGTATCCGGGAACGAAAGAAAAAACGAAATTTCTAATGCTCGACCTAAGATCGACTACGCTCCGATACTAACGATCATAGAAACGGGCTTGGATGGACTATCGATCTAAAAAGAGATCAATCGGAAAGAGACGATACTTGCTAGCGTGTTACCTAAATTAAATGGAACGTTACTCGAGGCAAAAGGCGAGCTATGTTCGAGGATTTACCAAAAATACCTTCAACCTTTTTTCTCGGGTTGGTTCACTCTACGAGGTTCGATGTACTGGGTCATTTACTTACATACAGCTATATCGTGTTCTCGAGGGGCAAAGAGTCGATCACGATCACTAAAAGAACTTAAAACGTTACAATTTCGTGCGTCATCCAAACTAAGTTCTATGCCAAAATTGATAGATCAAAGATTTATCGAGAAAGAAAAAATGATGATGCACAAAATCGAACGCGTGTCAACTAGTTTCAAACAGTATTATCCTAAACTATTATTGCTTATTATTCGAAGAGGAAACGTGCTGTTGAAAAGGAAATTCTTTAAAGGAAAAAAAGAACTGAAGAATTTTCTAATAGTTCTATACAGTGTGATCCCGATAGATGCTCTAGTAAATAGTACTTTCACTAATATTTATATAGATAAACGTATCAAGTGCCTAAGAGAGAAGAAGAAAAGTTGGAACGTGTGAATGTGGTTCTGTTTTAAACGCGACCACCGTTGATTTATTCTCCTCGGTTTCTTCTTCGTTGTTGTTCTTATAATCTTTCTGTTGTTATAATCTTTACGGAACAGCTTTCTCAATGGTTGCATCAAGGATGGTTGCGTTTTCGGTGATACAAGTCAGTGATTCAGTGACAGTGAAAAAGTCGAGGAAAGAATCAAATGATCTACGTATGTGAAAGAAAGGAAACTTTCAAAGGAAACGTACAAGTGTTCGAAGAGTGTGAAAAATAGTGTGTGCCGTGTGTGTCGATGCATAGAAAGAAATATACAAGACGGAAAAAAGGAGCAGAGATACAACCGCCAAATGTCTAATTAACCAATTAATATTCTGCAAGTTTGTCGACATTTTACGCTGCACGTACTCTCGACAGGCTACTGTGTCTCTGCGCGAATTATTCGTTAAAATATTAAACGAAGATAAGTGGTATTATGTACACGGAAAAAGTAAATCGTTCGCTGCAAAGTGTTCAACGTTTCCGAATGATATGGTTTGTTCGAAAGAAATTTCATAGCGCCGGCGAGAATTTATCGAGAATCGTACTTTGCAACGAACGCGTGAACGTATAAAAGAAATTGTTGATAAGAAAGTAAAGAATCTCGTAAATGATATATCGTTAAAGAATGTACAAAAGGAAAACGGACCGAAAAGGAAAGAACCGATATCAAGATGATGATAATAATAAGAATAATAAGTAAGAGAAAAAGTAAGTACTACCGCCTGGGCTGCAGGACTTTGCCCAGCATTATCGTTATCGATAAGATCGTTATCGTTCTGGAAAACAAAGAGAAAAGACACAAAGAGATGATTGATAGCTGCGTGAACAATCCTCTTGTCTGGGTTGTATAATTAAACAAATGTATTATAGTATTGTGATTAGATATCGCTTTAAAATTACTCCTACTCTAATTGACACATTAATTAACGGTAACAACGATAAATAACAAATGGCAACAAAATAATTCTATACTCCATTAATTCGAAAGGTTCAAACCTCGTTGTCGTACTCTCTTTTCTATGATTCTTTAAATGGAAACACTTAGAAATTCAACAGACACAGATTATTCTCTAATATTCTAATCGTAACTCATTCAAAAAAGAAATGAATATCGTCCTAATATTCTATAGATAGTTTGCGTTTCGTATCGATTTATCGTTTGCCACCGATATACTATTTCGAATCGCGACATGTACGTATAAAATCAATTCCTCCATTTTTTTCTCGGTAGAAACGCGTTTGATAGATGCGTGATCGATAAATAGGTAGCAAACGATGTATCGAACGAAACAGAGGTCTACGTTAATCGGTTGCATCAACTTTCGAATCGTGACGTTCAGGAAGGGTGACATCGAAACTGCTTCTACACATATTGATTCGTTTGACTAAGTTAACTTAACAGACATAGATTGAACGTCTTTCTTGTTCGTTAAGTAAAATATTAATCGATTTCTTTACCACAGCGTGGCGGGATGATCACCCGATTAAATTTCATTCTTTTTCTCGCGTCTCTTTGGAATCGTCAAATCAGGCTCGAAAATTTGTTAGCGATACGGACACGCTGGGATAAAGAGACGTATCTAGTAATCTTGAATCTTTGTTACTCGTTCAAATACATATTAATGTCGGAAAATTCTCAGCACTACTGAGCACACAGTAATATAGCGTCAAGAACGTTGGGACTCGGGATGAAAGCTTAGAATCGCGTTCATTGTTTCAAACAATTTCAAGCACTTTTCGTTGATAGATCTTTAACCCTTTACCTCATAATATCGAGTCAGACTTCTAACAAATTTTGGATATGATGTGAACAGTGGTACAAGTACCAACAATTGTTTCTATTATTTTTTCCAGTACGCGCCCGAATAAAATTACTTTATGCCAAATAACGTTTAACGTTTAAGAAACATTAGAGTTACGCGATGCTAAGCTTGTCGTGGGTGATCAAGAAGCTACGTGGAATTTTTGGAAGTTCTCTATTCGAAACGTGATGTTCGCACCGGCCACGTGAAATCCTACCACGAAGAAGCCAACGACAAACATCCATTCAAACTTAATCCTCGAACAGATTCCCACGAATTTTGTTTGCTCGATTCCAATGAGAAAATAGTGATCGCGAATGAACAATATCGATGGACGGAAACGTCGAATCGATAAACGATTCGTGGGAACGGCAGATCAGAGGTTTCTCGTTCGAATAGGGAAATATATCGCTAAGGGCTTCCATTTTCGTACGAGTGAGAAACTCGAATCGGAAACGACGAAGAACACTCACCTGTCCGGTCGGTTTTATTTGACCAAACTTGGTCGTCCTCCAACTTTCGAGTATCAGAAGGCAGACGTATATCTTACCAACGGTCATCTTACCTCTGCCTAATTCTAAAACAATATCGTAAGAGCGTTTAATAATCAGCGGTAAGATGTTACCCGAATCGAAGATTCTTACCTTCGTTCTTAGGTATCAAAAGGTCCAACATTTTTTTCGCCTGCAGAGGCCAAATACTTCTGATCGTGTCTCTGAGTTCCTCGTTCGCTTGTTTCATCTCGTCGGCTGTAACGGAGTACATCGAAATAAGCGAACGCCGCGCGAACCGCGAAGCTGCGTTAAAATCTGAGAAATATTTACCGCATCTCATCTTGATACTAAGATTCTCGCGAATCAGGGCGAACAGAGTGGTGGTGAAGTTCACTTTCCCGTCGACGTCCACCGGCATGTTCATCCTGATCAACTTCTTGTAGGCGAGTCTATTCGGACACTTGTTACCAAACCCCAACGGCGGATCCATGTTCTTCAGCATGTCGTACATTTCCGTGTAATGGATCTTGCCGGTCGCGTTTGGATCGTACTCGGCCCAGATCCGAACGAACTCGTCCAGATGATGGGCACCCAGGATCGACGAGTCTCTCGTCAGATAATCGAAATTGTCCATGATTACGGCGACGAACAAGTTCAACATGAGGAACGAACAAAAGAAGATGAACGAGACGAAGTAGGCGTACGCGATGTTCGAACCGCACTCCTCCGTTTGTTTGCCGGCTTTCTCGTCGCACGGCCGACCCTTGATGCAGGACAACATGATGTTCGGCCAAGCCTCGCCGGTCGCGCACCTGATAACATCGTTCGATCAGTCTTTCGTTCTTGCCGTTTTACCTCTGTATCGTTTGTCTCGGTGCTGACCATGGGATATCGTATAAGAAATCTAGGAACACCCACGATGCCTTTTCGGCATCTTTTAAATTAGCCAACTATTACGCTTATGAATCGACTCCTCTGGACAGCACCGAAATTATTCTCGAAAACTACATGTACTAAAGATTTTCTAATTGTTGATGCTTCCTGAAGTTTCTCCGTTGTCGGATAGCGAGCATATCAAAGCGTCCGTTAGCAGAACTTCTAACGAAACTTTAGGACTCATCGGTTCAATCCAACCTCGAACTACATGCAAGTAACACAATTTCAAGCGTAAAACGTCGTCACTGGGATTTCTATCGCTTCCTCGTTAAGATCTGCTCGATGAAATCATGCATGGGACCCTATCGAACAACATCAAAAGCGATACTGGTTCGGTAACTCGATTACTCTACTTCGTTTACTCTACTACGTGTTAGTATTAGGTAGAACGTACGAGGCGTAATAAAGCCCTTTTTTTGCGTTAGTGTGTCAGTGATCGAACGAAACTGAAAACCTCGACTTTCATGATTTACCGCGCTTTTATCCCGATGCGTTGCGATTTCTTCCCGAGAAAGAGAAAGGAAGAAAAATAAATAAAGTTCGCCGAGTTTAAATCGTGAGCGCAATTATCAGCTGTGCCGTTGCGAACATAACTCTTTGCGTGTTGTTTCGTTAGCGTTACTCACCGAAAAAGCAACATCAGACCTTGAATGAAGCTTTGGAAATTGTTGTGCTTGGTAATCGCAGTCTCGGCGTCCAGCGCGATGTTACCGAACACCTGAGACCGACAGAAAGAAAATTTGGCCGTGGGCCAAAGGGCGAGCACGGCATTAGCAACAAGTTCTCTCTTCTTTCGTTTCGGATAAACGTTGTTAAACTTAAGATCGATTCTCATCGAACCTGTCAACCGATTCTTCCCGCTGTACGATCAATAAATATGTTCAAGCAAAACGTTGTACAGGGTTGTGTCAGTGTTGAAAATCTACCCTCTAACAATACTCATCCACCACATTAATTACGAGCTACGGTTGTTTCGTTAATATTTTCGTTTTTCATTCGTCGATACGCGACCTACTCGAGAGAAAATAGAAGAACGCTTCGATAACGAACATTAGGAAATAGGAGAATCGCGAAAGACTGGTTCCATTCGTTCTCTCGAGTACCGTCGTAACGCGACGAAAATGTCGATATAAATCTATGGCAAGCATCTCTATGGGACAACTGTCTATGGGAAGTCTAATTGCGGGGTTCAATTAACAACAGATTGACACGTCGAGCAGCTTACTTTCGTTAAACTTCATGCCAACAACTCAGTACTTCTACGACAACTGTTGTCGCTACCGATCGCTCTTTTTTTTAAAAAGATGCATCTCGTTTCTCGAGTACGAAAACGAAATTATCGAACGCGGATCGGTAGCTTTTCCTTCGATAACGATTCATTTTACCCCAAACTTCGAACTTGCTTCGTTTAGCTGCTCGACTCACCGAAAAAGCAACATAAGACCGGCGAAGAAGGATTGAAAGTTGTTGTGTTCATCGATCGCTGTTCCTGGATCGTTCGATATATTTCCAAAGACCTAACAATGGAATTTCATCGTCACTAATGACATGGTTTATAAATGGTATAATATTTTCTTCCTGTAAACTGTACCGCTCGTCCCGTACTATCGAGTCGTTCCCAATGTCGTCGAATTGTTTGATACGGTTAACGCGATTTAAGAAAGATTCGAATTCGCGACCCGATCCAGTAATTGAAAAGTCCTTTTCCTCGATTATACTGGAAACTCTCGGTACATTTTTATCCGAAATGTTTCGCTCTCTCTCTCTCTCTCTGCATTCTGGCGTAAAATCTCGTCAGAAACGAAGAGAAATCGGACGTACGATACGTACCTGCATACCGATGATCGCGTAGATGAAAAACAGCATCGCAATGAGAAGACAGACATAAGGCAGAGCCTGCAAAGGAGCGTGAAATTAGACTGTATCCCGATTAAAAGGACAACGATACTTTTTGCTCGTTTACTCACTTTGAAGGATTGTACAAAGGTCCAGAGTAAAATTCGTATCGTGTACCCCTGCCTGAGCAGTTTGATCAACCTGGCAGCACGAAACAGTCTGAGGAAGCCGACGTTGATGAAGTTCTCCTGCAGGGGACAGAGGAAATTGCACTTAATCCCCGAGACATGCCGATTCCTTATCACGATTCGGATTGGGCTTCGCGCGTTTAACGTTACAGTTTCGCGAACGCGATCCTTGACCGCTCCTTCGAAACCGTCTCGTTACACGAACGAAGCTACAGACACATTTCGACACCGGTTGAACCCGATCGAAATCGCTTCGAGCACCGCTCTTCGATTGCGAGCACGAAATTCTGATCGCGACTCGTCGCTCGCTGCCTCGTTCGTTAACCCGTTTGCTGCGATCGAACTTTGCTGCAATCGGAATTTTCATCGCGAGTTCATATACCGCATCCATATGCCATTTTTCGAAACTTTGTCACTTTGTTGTCCTGTGTGCTCTGTGTGACTCTCCATGCGCGCGTCAACTATCTACAAGCTGCCTCGATAACGCTGTCGAAGCGAAACTTCGCTTTCTTTATCCTGACAATGTCGGAGCGAAGGGACGATAGAAAAAGGGGCGAAAGTTCGAGGCAGCCTGCGGATCGTGTCCTGTACTGTGATATCGAATCGAGTATGTTTGTGTGCGTTGTATGAACGGTTCGTACTTTCAAGAACGAACAGTTTATCGAAACTCAGTGTCTGGATAAGAATGCGACGCGCGATCGCTCGTTCTTTCGAGTTATCGAGTTTGCTGTAGCATATCATGATCGTGTTGTATGCGGAATCAGAACGAACGCGTATACTTTCATCGATTTCGTATCGATACACGTTCTCGCACGACAGAAGACTTCTCGTAACGAAAGACCTCGACAACTTACGTCTGTGGTGTAAAACGTGACGAAAATTTATACCTTCTTTTCGCCTAGTTGACCGCCACTGGGCATACTCGAAAACCGCTCCTAGTACAAAAATATACGAATATTGCAAGATTATTGGATCGATCGAACGGAATATACCGATGATCTCTTAATAGGCGAATGTGTATATACATTTATATATCTATATAGAGAAATACAGAATAAAACTAGCAGAGATTTACAGAAATACGAAACTGGTCTGGCGGCGAGACTCGTTCAAAACAACTGGTCGTGAAGCTTGGAAAGCTGGCTCTGCTTACCTTCATCTCTAAAGGTAACGGTCGAGCCAGGATTATCACTTTTGTATCAGTGTCGATTCAGCAAACCTACTAAGGAGTGCAAGCAGTTTAAGGGGTAATCTCGACTCCGAGAATCGACGATGCGGCAAACGACTCTCAACTATCTGACGCTTTACTGGAGATTTAATTACGGCATGTGGATGTAGCACGGCGTTACGTCGGGTCTCAAAAAATTACGCTTATACTACAGAGGATCAAAATAGAATACCTGCTGGGTTCAGTGCTGTATTTTAAATGTTGGATGTTCGAACAGTGTCGTTTTCGTTCTAAACAATGGAACGAACTGTCGTTCGAAAGGACGCGCTCGTTTACGCTTCTCGAGAAACCTTCCGGTTGATCAAGATTTTTGGTATATACATAGAAAAAGAGAAAACGTGGCGTTTCCTTTCGAGCGACGTCCGGTGATCGATTCGCGCGTGTACAACGTGAATATATCGAGGGTGATGTCGTGTACTGTGCACGTGTAACAATGTATACGGTGTAGATGTGTAGCGTATGAATGCAGCATAAAGCTACGGTTAATTACAAATGAGACTGTAATAGGGGTTCGAATAATATCGTCGATTTACCTGCTAGCATATCGTATTCGGTAGAATCGCGTGCAACGTACGCTTCTCTCGGTAGAAGGAACAATTTTCGCGTAACTACGCTACCGACAACAGACGATTGTAAGTTGTCGGAAACGCTGGAACGCCGTTTACCCTCGCTCTTTCTTTTAACCGAGAAAAGTCATCGTTGCGCGCGAGTCTACGCTCTCGCTGAAAGTAAAGAAGCAGCAAAGAGGTTAAACTTTATCCTAAAGGAGCGTTAAGGGGAAGACAACATTTCGAGATGTACATTCAAGCAACACTGGGTCCACACAGTTAATTGGGGAGTCAAAGGTTTACATCGTATGTCATCGGGTTTTCTCGATCGAAAAAAAAGCACGCAAACTTTATGGACATTCTACTTCACCTCTCACGAACTACATCGCTTATCGAACATTAATACTTGACTGCGATTTACGACGGTGTTCGTTGAAACTTTACGTACCCCGAACTCGATCACCAGGGCGTCCACGATGCTGCCGATCACCGTGATGAAATCGAACGTGTTCCAGGCGTCTTTGAAGAAGTTCTGCGCGCGGGGAATTAAAAAAAGATCGATTAGAAACAATCCTGTTCGTTACTTTGCCTACCGTCGATGCTATCGGTTCGAAGTTTCCTCGAAATTTAACCAAAACTCGTTCGCTCCGTTTACGGAAATGCGTCTCATCGAAAATAATTTATTATCTCGATACCGTCTGAACGAAAAGCTACTACGCTGCAAACAAAGAAACGATTTAGTGGAGTTCGAAGAAACTGCGACGAGCTTCGAGCGTGTAAAATGTTTGCGATGCCGAGGATAATAGAACTACGAACTCGATAAACGGAAAATGTGGAAAGTTTACTCCGCTCGCGCAGAGTCAAGCTTTCCCTCGTCGTGTAAGTATGTAGTTGTGTGTACACGTGTGCGCGCGTGTGCGTGCGTTCGTTCGTGTACGTGTATGTATGTACGTGTTTCGATACGCACCCTTAGCATGAAAGTAAACGATGCTAATTAGAAAACCAAGTGTGAAAAATTGTGCTCTCCAACGATGTGTCGAGTTAAAGGCCATATCTCTTCGTTTCGAGTGACAAATGATAAAAGTTGAAAAAATGGTGTAACAAATTATCGCGAAAAGCTTGCGTGAAATATAGAAACATGTCTATATCTGTACTGTATGCGTTTCGCGAGTTTTTACCGGTTAACCGTGAATCGAAAAGCAAAATAAAGTACCGATATCATTTTTGGATAACCCTGTATAAGTAGTATTCTCTAAGGTGTGGCAGACAGGACACAAGAAAACTATATATCGGTATGTATCGATACTACAGAGTCAGATTTAGTCTCGAATACTTAGTGTCTTTGAAAAGATGAAGAGACTTGGCTGAACAGGTCACGAAATACCCGGTGAGTCGGCACTCTTCGGGATCACTCTTCTAATACGAGTATCTACAGGATCATGCCGGTAATAGCAAGCAAAGACTAGAGAAAAAGAGTGTACGAGAGACGGATACGCGGTTATTCGCGAGAAGCTCTACGTTATCGTCCTTTTTCCAGGCCAGGAAAGAGGTCACACCTTCGTCTACCGGTTTAAAAGATGCAAGCCAAAAAGAGACTATCAACGTAACAATCTCGGTACTATAGCTTTACTCTAAATAAGGACAAGGTGGCCGATTCAAAAGTATACCAATTTCTCGCTTTTAAAATACGATATAACTATTCTCGCAATTAATCAAATTCCTCTTACAACCGTCACTCTCAAGTTAATCGGTATACGCTTCGCTCGGCCTTATCGTAACTCTAATACAAATTAAAGTAACATATGCATGTATCTGTAAGTAGTCGCGTTACCAGACACCATTTTATATTTGCTTCGCATTCCTCTTTTCTGGCAATAATCGTCTTTTTGTCCTTCTCGCGATGAAATTATTTTTTCTCCAACATACTTTCGATAGGGAAATTGAAAAAAATAAACAAAAATGTAGATAACACGATATATACAGAATGTTTCAAAAAGATTGTACAGCGTCGGTCGCACTAGTCCTCTTTAAAGGTGATACAGGAAGAAGGGGATCACTCTAATATAATTTAACACCCGAAAATTATTGTTACGTCGAAAGAGAGTTAGCGGAGACAGGTGAATTACTATTCCACTACTCGATTAAACTACTTGGTTTAATACTGAACCAATTACTATTTCAAGCGTATAACAGCAAATTTTACTCATCAGCACTAGTCGAAATTCTATGACATATTCTTGCTCTATGCGAACTGTGTCTAATCTGTATAAACGAGGCGAATCGCGGGCCATCCCCTTCTTCCTTATCGTTTTTCCCTGTAGAAAGCTAGCTTACTCGCCAACGTTATACCGAAATGCGTCGAAAAGTTCTTCGCTGTTTAGCAACTCGTGTTTTTGTCGCGAAATGCCACGTTTAAAACTCTTCAAAATTTTAGAGCCGATACAAAATTCAGTGAGTCGATACATGAAAATACGAATAGAACATTTCGAACGAAAATGCAAATTATAAAATGCGAGGAACTTTTCGGTTTGCGTTAGTACGAAGAATCCGGCGCACAAGCTTTCTGAGACAACCTGTATACGTACACGTATTATTATAACATTATATATAGTTGCGTGTGGTTAGTGGAGTTGTCTAGTGATTTAGAGGTTTTTTTTTATACCTTGCATCCGAAGGCGACGAGTTTGAGGATGCACTCAATGAGGAAAAGGAGGGTGACGGCGAAGTTCACGACGGTCAAGGCGTCCAATAGCTTTGGCGGCGCCTCGTGATACTACAAAATACACCCAACACACAGACGTAACACAACGAAATTAAGATTTCGCTCGTGGAACGATTTTTCATTTCATTTTGAACGATCGAAATTAATCACGTTGCGACGAATTCTTCGTTGTGTCAGCGTCCCTCTTTTTTTAATCAGGAATGCTCTTCGATCGGGGTAACGATTTCGTTTTGTTCTCCCTTTATTCTCGAACGAAATTATCCAAAGCAAGTCTAACCAATCTCTCACAGAGCGATCTTTTTTCGAGGTTATTTCCGTCGTTTCTGCTCACGTGAAACGACCATCTTTGTGTACGTGTGTTTCTTGTGTGTGGTGAGTGTGAACGCGTACAATTCGTAATTTCCCGCGATAATATTTCGATCCGCGAACAAATTTTTGTCACTTTTCTTGTCGAGAAAGAACGGCTACGTTTTATACTCGTGTCAGGGATCGTATTAGAGCCACTGTCGTAAATTAATATTTCTTCGTCTTCTTGATTTCGCGCGACCCAAATAACCTTGCTCTAGTCAAAATTATGATACTTCAATTTCTTAACTCCTTGGATATCTAACTTCTGAAATATGGTATCTGAATTCTTAGTCGATTATAAGCACGTGTATCTGTAGAGAAATGTGATAAAAATTTAGTGCGCGAATACTGCAGGAGAAATATCGCAACGATCGTTGCTCAAAATTAGTGCAAAGTGTAAAAGGAATAACCAGTGAAGAAAAGTGACAAAACTTTCCCACGGATCAAGTAGAATAACATGCGTCTTCTAAGAATCGAAAACTATCGTAGCTTTCGACATAAAAAATTGATCGTTAATCAGGTGCGTTTTACCGTCAACGAAATCTCTGAGTTCTTATTCTTTCCGAAATTCCGTCTTTGTACGGACCATAATGTACGAAGAATGGTAAAAAAGTTCGGAGAAAATTCATGGTTCTGTCGACCAACGAATTAGTTACGAATTTATTGCCGAAACTTTGCAAGCACTTTAAGAACCACGAATTTAGTCACTTTCTTCCAATTCTTTGAAAAGTCGCGGCTGCATTATTGGCCCAAAACACGCAGTCGTTGCAATACAACAATAGCTCATCAACGACCGAACATCGATTGTCTCGTTTTGGTCTTTGTATATTGCATTTTATTTCCCTTGGAGATCGAAGACCGCCGAAAAATCGATGCTCGCCGTTAACCCCCTGCCTTATAATATTTTTCTACAAGATAAATCCTCCGTAATACACGCAATGTTTATATATTACATCGATCTGTATAGCCAACTTAATTTCGTCTGTTAGATTTTTAGAGGGTAACTACGATACTCTGTTAGTAATTAACCGTTTGCGATCTAGATTCGAGTAGGTTAATTGTCTCCTCGAGGAAGAAAATTTACACGAAACGTTCGGATGCAGAAAGAGAAGACTGTATGGAAAATACAGGTCTCTTCGTTATTACGATAAACAGTATGAATCTCGTCTAGAAATCTCGACAGGCCGCAAACGGTTTCTTCGTAAATGCAGCGAACCGTTGGAAAAATCATAAGACAAGAGGTTCAAAGCACAATATTACGCATGCAAGGATAAAGAACCACGACAACGTGCAGTGATTACGTGCAGGGTGCAACAAGTCTGACATTTGCATGCAGCAAGGAGTTGCTCCGGGCTGGACTCACTTTCTCGAGAGAGTTTTACCCCACCCCTGTTCGATATTTTCGAAATTAAAATAACCAGCCAGAAAAAGAAGGTAGATAGGTTGATAGACAGAGAACGAACTGAAAAATAACTGAATGTTCGTGTTCGGTTATCGACGAGCGTGAATGCAAATGTGTCGTGTGGTGTTGTGCGTGTGGTTCGTGTACTAAAAACTAACGCGAGAAAACTCGTTTAACGGCGGGATGCAAACTCTAATCGAAGTTAGTTCTTAAGCAGAGAATATGTTTTTCTCGAAGCGGCTCGCAGTTACACTCGTTTTAATCGTTTGGCCGCGTTAAATATCGAAGAATCTTTTCGATGTTCCGTGTCGAGCCATATGTTTCGAGCGCATGAGAGGTGCAGGTCGAAAAAGTAGCGCTCGTAAAAACTTAATATAGTACTCTAAACTAATTTAAGTAAATAAACAAGTAAAAATATTAAACATTAATCGATTTGAAAATTTGACAATTTTCATTTTTGTCGATCACTGCAATTCTCATGCAACTTCAAATAGATACGCACAAAAGTGCATCTTATTTTTAATAGTGTACAGAGCTGAGCATCCGCCATAATCTAAGGATAGATTTAATTCTAATAATAAAATATACGATCGTTTCAACCCTTTCACGTTTACATATCAAATTTCCTTATTAAAAACCGAGTCATCGTGTCTCGAGAAAGGCGAAATGTTCTCGAGAAGTTTAGAACAGAAAATGTTTATTCCGATCTACTGATTATTACATGTTAATACATGTATGGTATACACAGCGAAAGGGTCAAAGTAATGAAAACTACGAGATTTCTACGAAAGTAGACTACTAAAAAGGATTTAAAAATGTTTACGCAACTAGAGTTCGAAGTTTAACGCGTGTTCAGCCCTGAACACGAAAGGTTCTCTACGTATTCGTACATACACGTATTCTTGCAACACGAGTATACTTTTCAGTACCGTCGAGTCGGCAAGATACTATCTATTCTGTCAGGGAAAGAAAAAAATAAAGAAACGCACTAATTTTTCTCTAATAAGCGAAACTTACCCAGTCTATACATTGAAAATTGATTCTGCGATCGATCGTTTCGCGCTCGTAAATCTGTTCTTGATAAAATTTCATGTATTTATCGTCGATAAAAAAATAAGAAACGGCGAAGAGAATCGCAGGCATCATTTTTCATCGGAAGTTCGACTACTCTCTAAGCGGATACGTTTTCTCGAAATAATCTGTTCGATGAGGGGAGGGTTTGTTGGCATGATGGAGCTTACCCTCACGCCGAAAGCGGCGATCTTCAGTATGCACTCGACGGTGAACATCCCCGTGAAGCACATGTTCATGTACTTCAGCGTGTTCTTGTACGCGTCGCTTTGCCGATGGAACTGTAATGCATACACTGACAAACACACACGGCCGACAGAAACGAACGGACAGACAGACAAACAGACAGACAGACGTACAAGCCTATCGAACGAGCGCGATTTTGCGGACGGCGAGCCGCGCGGTAGAAATTTACGCTCCTAACCACCGTCGTCGCTCATTTTTTTCTTATAGTCATCGATTCGACAAAATGCACTATTTTTTTCTTACGGAACAATTCGAACGTTGATACGCTTCGACCATATTTCGATTCTCTACAATGTCTGATCTTTCTTAACCCCTTGCCGTGCCATTTATTTGTGAGGTGCGTCAGTCAAGACTAACCATTCAGGACTATAACATTAAAACGAACAAAGAAAATTAAAATGTTCTAAGTATTTTATATTCAGGGATCCTTGACAACGCAAATTATAGTTGGATCTAAACCTCAAGTTAAAGAGTATTCAAAATTTGAGTAACATTAATCACATTTGAGTTGTGAGTGCGTCACGAGTGAGACTCGTCAAAGCACGGGAAGGGGTTAACTGTTCGAACGCGTTATATTCCATTCTCGATTAAAAAAGAACGATATAAGTCTGCTCGTTCGAAGCGTATCGACACCGATTACCGAGTGACACGGTGTTACAAATATATAAATGACGTGTAAACTAGAGTGCGAAATCTGTAAGTTACACGGTGTATAAATATGAATATACATATAAATATAGTGGCAGTTTTCAGTCGACAAAGAGGGAGAGACACATAGGTGTATAATATTAGCGTTAACCTACATACGTGTATCTGTACGGTCCTAAAGGGCGTGTATTTTAACGGTGACGAAAATAATCATTAAAGAGATTGTCTCATTCGTTAGGTTGAAGGGATGGCTTGACATAGTACCAGGTATACTACGCGTGACTGGTGTGTGCACACGCTTATACTTTGTGTCATCGACGTCATCGTGTAAAATTTGGGATAACGTCCAAACGTTGGATCCATTGTACTGGTATCGACGATCGATCGTTAGCGATGGCTATAAAACGATATCTTACTAAATTTTTAAACGCTACCAGCGTTATCGATCGTTCGATTAAAGGATTTTGAAAGGACGTTCTATCGCGTCGTACGCAACGACGACGAGTATTTTCCGTCTTGTTCGACTTATTAAAGTAAAGCGATATTTCTCGTCGTCGCGTGCGTCGGGATCGGTTGTCGGGCAAACAGATACGAGTTTGGTGTCTTGGAGAATCGCGGCACACAGGAAAGAGCAAATAACGTTACTGCGAAAAGAAACAACGAAAGGAAAAGAGAGTAAAAGAAACAGAAGGCAATCAAGGAATCAACAATGTTCATTTAGCGAGCTGAAAATCAGACTGTAAGAAAAACAAGAAGGAAATTTCGTAGAGGAGAAGAGACAGAGGGTTGCGAATTATCCCTTTCGCTCGAGGTATCAACGTGTTATCTTTTCTCTCTTTAACGTTCAGAATTTTGATAGAGCGAGCCACAGAAGCGGACATTTTCCAAATTTCTTCGCTTAGAACTTGGAGTGCTATTTTCGATCGAAATGCAATTCTGAAGACAATAGCGTGTGCAACATAAATTTTCGTCTGCTTCTTCGGTTTCGCTTTTCGAACGCGTTATATTCCATTCTCGATTAAAAAAGAACGATATAAGTCTGCTCGTTCGAAGCGTATCGACACCGATTACCGAGTGACACGGTGTTACAAATATATAAATGACGTGTAAACTAGAGTGCGAAATCTGTAAGTTACACGGTGTATAAATATGAATATACATATAAATATAGTGGCAGTTTTCAGTCGACAAAGAGGGAGAGACACATAGGTGTATAATATTAGCGTTAACCTACATACGTGTATCTGTACGGTCCTAAAGGGCGTGTATTTTAACGGTGACGAAAATAATCATTAAAGAGATTGTCTCATTCGTTAGGTTGAAGGGATGGCTTGACATAGTACCAGGTATACTACGCGTGACTGGTGTGTGCACACGCTTATACTTTGTGTCATCGACGTCATCGTGTAAAATTTGGGATAACGTCCAAACGTTGGATCCATTGTACTGGTATCGACGATCGATCGTTAGCGATGGCTATAAAACGATATCTTACTAAATTTTTAAACGCTACCAGCGTTATCGATCGTTCGATTAAAGGATTTTGAAAGGACGTTCTATCGCGTCGTACGCAACGACGACGAGTATTTTCCGTCTTGTTCGACTTATTAAAGTAAAGCGATATTTCTCGTCGTCGCGTGCGTCGGGATCGGTTGTCGGGCAAACAGATACGAGTTTGGTGTCTTGGAGAATCGCGGCACACAGGAAAGAGCAAATAACGTTACTGCGAAAAGAAACAACGAAAGGAAAAGAGAGTAAAAGAAACAGAAGGCAATCAAGGAATCAACAATGTTCATTTAGCGAGCTGAAAATCAGACTGTAAGAAAAACAAGAAGGAAATTTCGTAGAGGAGAAGAGACAGAGGGTTGCGAATTATCCCTTTCGCTCGAGGTATCAACGTGTTATCTTTTCTCTCTTTAACGTTCAGAATTTTGATAGAGCGAGCCACAGAAGCGGACATTTTCCAAATTTCTTCGCTTAGAACTTGGAGTGCTATTTTCGATCGAAATGCAATTCTGAAGACAATAGCGTGTGCAACATAAATTTTCGTCTGCTTCTTCGGTTTCGCTTTATCGATGGTCCTGGATAGCTGAGGATCGAGTCGTGCGGGAGTCTCGTGCAAGAAACATATCGTTACCGAAGAAAGAAACAAACAGGAAAGAAAATACATACACACACACACATTCAGTGGATGTCTGGTGTTGTTCAGTGATTCGCTCGACCACTTGTTCGGTGAAATATTTGGATTGCGAGCAGCCAGGCATGCGACACGCAGTTTGCCACTCGTGCAAACAGTTTGGTGACATTACGAAGATGTGTCGGTAACATCTAACGTGCCTTTTAACAAAGAACCTAGGGGGCTCGACAAATTCTTCGAACCAGTTGAACGAGCACCGAGTTCGAAAACGAGTCTCGCAGTCCCTTGTTCGACAATGTTCGCGTAATCGGTGGTGCGGTTCATTCTCAAAACCATGTGCGTCAAGTGTTCAAGGCAGCGTGTGTGCGTGAAAGAAAACGGGTTCGAAACGGCGAAGCACAAATATGTATGCACGTATAGGCGTTCGAGACACGTTTGCTCGAATCGGAATCGAATGTTGTGTCCAAAATAAAAGCGTATTGTTTCGTTGGAAAATGGAAAGCAGTCTTCCGGAAAGAGTGTCCAACGAAACGGCGCGTGTCACCGATAGGCTGTGTACAAAGAAAAGAAGAAACAGTGCAGAGAGACGTAATAGAACAAAAACGAAGAAAGTGTGCTCTTAAAGCACACGTGGACTCGCGTGCAGGGCTTTTCGTATACCGCAGCTTTATCATTTTTCTCGTTCTATTCGACCGCGTTCGATATGACCCGACGATTAATTCGATCAAGCCAGTTTGTGCTACGCTTCAAACCTCGCTACCAGTTCAAACATGGGCTTGTCAAGGCTTACGAGTCGAACGCACCTCGTGTCTATGTGTGTGCGCGTGTGTGTGTGTACGTGGTCGTGGAACAGCATATCGATATTCGGATATCGTTCTTCCACGTATTTTCGAGAACGTTTAGTATTGAAAAAACGAGGACACAGTAGCAGGCATGCAGTCAAAAACGGAGTCGGGAACAGAAGAAACCGAGGAGAGTTATAAATACAGGATATCGAACGAAACGAAAGAGAACGAAAGGAAATATTGCTACTTAAAGCGAAATAAGGTATGATAAACGGGAAACGAATGGACGCGCGTGGGACGGATTGGCGCGAGTGCTATGAAATGCTTGCCAGGGTTCGAGACTCGAAATTGATTAGACCGTTTTCGATCTGGAGATCGATGCACAAAGGAGTACACCCAAGTTTCTCCGATTACTTTCGACGCGATATCGATTAATAACGGACTCGAGTTCGATATCTCTGAGTAGATCACTTTGGTAATTCGAACGTTAAAATATTAACGATAAGCGACGCGTACGAAATTGTGGAAAAAAGTATTCCGATTCGAATCGCAGAAAGCAGCGTGTACCCGTTCCTACATAAACCCCAGGTATTTTTGCGATATCCGAACGGATTTGAAACGGTTCCAACAAAATTCAACGAGCAATAGGTCGTCTGGATGCACTCGGCGCAGGCCTGGCATGGGAATAAAAGCTTCTGGAACGATTCTGGAACGAACGAGTAGGAACGAATAAAAAGCATCGAGACACCGTGAATCACGAGCGTCTAACTAACAAAAAGGATAGAGAAGAAAAGGAGGTATTTTCTTTGTTTGACACGAAAGGAGAGGACAGTAGAGTATCGAACACAGAGCTGTGTACACCACGTATCAATGGATACAAGGATGACAATTATACAGAGAGCAATAAATAAATTGGCAGGCAAGAACAACAATGTCCTCGTACAGATATAACGTTGTATCTTACAGTTTCACTTCGAGCTCTCTCTTCATCGTGCTTGTTCGTCGAACAGAACTCATTAGTGTCCCGTTGCGACGATCATCGTCGCAATCTCGTGTGATCGAGAATCGATGTATGAGGCTGCTTTTCGGATTGGTTAAAATTGCCAAACGCGATCACAAAACTCGGCCATACGCGACGAGACGTTCAAGAAACTTTACGCGTAACGATGGGCATTCGATACCGTTCCTTAATTATTTTCGAACAATTCGATAACGAACATATTTTTTCCACGGTCAAAAACGAAAAACGTACTCGTTGCAAATAAAGCCCATCGCTAAAATTGCTCGATCATTGATTAGAAAAATTGCGAGTGCACGAATACGCGAAAAAGGGGTACTAGCGTGCGCTTCTTCCGGCGGTCGCGTCTTACGTACGTTATTCAGGCTCGTTACGTCCACAAGATAAAAAAAAGTATCTGTATTTTCTCTTCGAGACACGTTCTTAAGAAAAGAGAAACGAACGAATCGTTGAAGCTTACCTTCATCATGAGTAGCACTGTGTTTAATACGATGAGACCCATGATAAAATATTCGAACGGCGTCGATACCACTATCCTCCAAATTTTGTACTTGACGCTGTTTCGTTCTTTCGGCATGTACCTCTCTAGAGGTCGCGCTTGTATCGTGAAGTCTATACAAGATTTCTGAAACGAGCAACGAGCAGAACGTTGGTATCGAAGCGACAGGACGCACGAGGTATCGCGAAACGTCGGCAAACCTGATTTTTGTCGATTTCGCCGTCTTGCAGTTCGGCCTCTCCCTGCTCCTGGAACGTGATGATAATCAAGGCCACGAAGATGTTGACGAAGAAGAATGGAAATACGATGAAGTAGACGATGTAGAAAATGGACATCTCTATACGAAAATTTTGGATGGGGCCTTTATCCTCGTACGTGGCCGCCATCGAATTTTGCAGGATCTGTGGCCAGCCCTCGCCAGTCTGTACCGCGAACAACGTCAGCATCGCGGCCATCACGTTGTCGTAGTGAAAAAACTGGGACTGCCACTCCCGCTTCTTTGGCTCTGGCAGCATGGCATCCTCCTCGTAAACGAAATATTGACCCCTGCGAGACGCATAATCGAACAATTAGTCCCGCAGCCTTATCGGTTTCGACGATGTTCTAAAAGAGTCAAACCTTTGGTAGTGATCTGTTTACGTTACCGAACGATTCCCACTGATTCGTCTACGCTCGTCGAGAAGAGAACGTTTGAAATACTCACTGGCAATCCTGTTCCGTGTATTTGCTCTCGTCGCTGCAGTAGAAGAACTTGCCGTTGAACAGCTGCACCGCGATCACAGCGAATATGAATTGGAACAATATATACACTATGAGAATGTTTATGACGTTTTTCAGACTGTTCACGACACAGTCGAACACCGCCTTCAATTTCGGCACCCTTTTGATCGTCTTCAACGGTCTGAGTACCCGCAACACTCTCAACGACTTGATCGTCGAAAGATTCTGTCCGGCCGAGCTACCGGTCATGTCGAACGCGAACGATACCGCGGCGCATATCACCACCACCGCGTCCATGATGTTCCAAAATTCGCGCAGATACGAGCCTGGATGAAGGATGACGCCGAGATCGATGATCTTCAAGATCATTTCGACGGTGAAAACACCGGTGAACGCGTAATCGAAGTAATTCAGCACCTCGTTCCTCGGCGAGTCCTCCCAGACAGGATCCTCGGCGGCCAACGCGATACTCGACAAAGATATCACCACCATTATGAAGAAGTCGAAGTACCTCAGGTTCACGACCCAATGGGCGGCTCTTCTTACGCTACGATCAAATTACGCGTTAGGTCGTTGATCACGAATCGAGTCGGCGATCGGTGACGGTCAACTTACGGATTCGTAGGGGACAGTATAAACATGGAGGAGTATGGCAGCATTGGTTTTGGTCCCGTGTCATCGTCTTCATCCTGCTTTTTCTCTTCGGATGACTGTTTCCCACCCTTTCCGTCTTTGCTACGATTCGATCCGATTAATTGTCATCGTATCCTTCGAACGTACTCGCACCGCGTTTTACGGATAGACAAGGTACTTACAAATTCTGAGTCGGACTCGGAGGGCAGATCTCTACCTTCGGCGCGTTACCGTCTTTCGGTTTCTGTAACGACTCGATCTCTTTCTCGAGTTCCTGCGCCTGCTTCTCCTTGTCCTCGACTTTTTCTTCGTCCTCGGCGGCGCTCAATTCTTGCGCGTTCGCCAGATTGTCGACGGCGATAGCCAAGAACACGTTCAGCAGCGTGTAGTTACCGAACAGCACCAGTACGATGAAGTACAGCGAGTAGATCATGCCCTTCTTGTGACCGCCTTGCGACTCGATACCCTGGTACATCACTTCGTTCCAATCTTCTCCGGTCAGGATCTGCGTGATCGCGATTACGTTCGTTAAACGAGTAGTCTAATACGACCGTGGAATGAACGCGATCGAAAGATTTCGTTCGGAAGAAAGACCATGTCTCGTGTCCTCTTTCCTCCTCGAATCTCGTTCGCGGAGATATATCTAGCGCGTTCGCGGTATCGAGAACGAATAAAACTTACTTGGAAGACAGTGAGCAGCGCGATGGGAAAAGTGTTGAAGTTTGTGGGCGGTGTACCGCTTTCGAAGTTGAACTGACCGCCAAACAGCTGCATACCGAGCAGCGCGAATATGAGGATGAAGAGGAAGAGCAGGAAGAGCAAGGAGATGATGCTACGCATCGAGCTGAGCAGCGATATTACGAGGTTCCTCAGGCTCTTCCAGTATTTGGTGACCTTAAAAATTCGCAGGAGTCTAAGGGCACGTAGGACGGAGAGGCCGAAAGAGCCGGACTTCACCTCGGACCAGATCACTTCGAAGATCGATCCCGAGATGACCACGCAGTCGAAACGATTGAAACTCGACTCGAAATAGGTGCGAGGACCGAGAGCGTACACTTTTATGAACATCTCCAGCATGAACAGGGCCAGGAACACGAATTCCGCGAAATCTGTTAACATTTCACCACATTTGGTTATGGATCACGCTTCATGTCAATGATTATGTTAGATTATTTTCGTATACTCACAGAGGAAATCGGTAAGCCATTGAGGCTGACCATAGTGTTCCACGGCCACGCAAACGGTATTGAAGAACACGAGGACGATGACGAACCAGTAAAACTTTTGCGATTTCACCGAGCTTCGTATCCAAAATCTGAATCTCTTTTCCGCCCGCCAAAATTGCACGCAAGTGCCCTCTTCCTTTTCCCTCGATTTAAAGTAGGAAGATCTGGAGAGTCCTGGAAAGTACAAATCGAATATTTCTATCTTTTTTTTTTGTTCCAGTATTTGGCCTCTCGCAATTTCCTAGTACTAGCAGTCATCTTTCACGGAGCACTTGAACTGGATTCTGGTGACGCGTTTCGCGCATAGAGGACAATTTTCAGTTCAAAAGCGTCGCAACCAAAGGGTTACGATTCAAAGGGAAAGATCAAAGAACGCGAGCGTTGCTAGCTAGACCATCTGACCAGTTAGTCAAGATGTCGATTGTAACGTCGATAAGCAACAGTATGTAGTACACGTCGATACAGAGTTAAATGCAGACGAGAATTTAACCTCTTTTTTAAATAAACATCAAAGCGAATATCGATCCTTTGTCATATTTCAGATTGAAATATAATTATCGATCATAAAGTTTGCGATCGATCAGAAAAGAATACTCACTATCGTCCTGGTCGTCATCGCCTTCCTCTTCCTCCGTGTCCGTGCTTTTACTTTTGCCAAGATTCTTCAATTTCTTCTTTTTCGCCGCGGCTCTTCTTCTTACTGCAACACGAATCGCTCTATCAATATACCTTCTAACGTCTAATTTCTGGCTAGATGAGTGTCTCGATACGAACCTTCTAATATGTGCATCTTCTCCTCTTCCGTGGTCCTTTCTTCCGCGAGTATTACCTCCTCTACAAAATTACGATAAACGTTCATCGAACGCACGGGTCACGGTTTTTCGTTCGAACGCAAACAAAAAAAGAAAAAGAAAGAAAGAAAAAGAGTCGAGCAATAGCTCAGCAAAAGTGAAAAGAGAAGCTACAAGATTCTGGCCTAAGGAGACGGCTGCTGTAAAGGGTGCTCGATAAGGAATCGATACACAGCCCTGGCACGTTGACTTTCTAACCTGCTTTGCAGATCCAATCCAGGTAACAGTTCAGTTCACGGTCGAGCTGCTGCTGTCTTCGCAATTTCAGGAAGGACTGCCGGTTCTCCACCTTTTCTCTCTCCTTTGCAAACTCTCTACAAGCGTTACACAGATGACGACGAGCGTTACATAAAGGTAAAGATCTACTTTTCACACATCTTACTTCTTCTATACGCTTTACTAGCGATTCGATACTCGATTAAGCACTCGGCTATTTCTGACAACTACGTAACCCGATATTTGTTGGAACGTTTACAGCGTTTACTTTTATACAGGGGTTTTTGGTCAAACGAAAAGGTTCAAGACTAGTAACACGTTTTTTCTTATTCGTCATCGACTGCCGGGAAATATCGTTACTTCGAGGTCTGCAAAAATTTCGGAAGTTCAGAGTCAGCATCCGTAGAACTCATCAGAGAGAATGAAAGTTCGGTAAAATTGTTAGTATTCCGTATCGCGTACGATTTATCCCGATGCGAGCCTCGAACCTTCTTTCGTTTGATCTGCGTCCGTTCGAGCGGTTTACACAAAATACTTGATCAAGGCAGAAGTTTGAGATTACTGACGCCTACGAGGAAACTTTGCGTGTTATAGAGTATCTCGCGATAAACGTTGGCTTTCAGTGGCTTCGCTAACGAGATCCTCTCGTTGAAGCGGGAAAACGGCTAGCGCGACAAAGTTAAGGGAAGATCGATCGTTTCGAGACCTGCTTGAGTGATCCACTTTAAGTAGGAACTGAACGCAGTCGTGAACAGACGTTTTCTCTTTGCTTTCTGATATGCCGCCCGTCTCTCGACGCGTGTTCTTTCGTTCGAAAATTCCCTGACGGAAACAAACAATGATAATCTTGCTCGCTCTTTCGTTACAAACCAGCCTTAAAGAAATAACGAAATATTTTTCACAGAATATTCGATTCGCAATGTTTTAAATTAAATTAGATGTACAGAGATATATTTCGACACGTTCAAGAACATTTAACGTTTCATCGTTAGATCAGTTAGATACGTCGCGGTAAACGACCCATCCGTGGTAAAGAAAGAAGAAACAGGTGGTGGCTGTTAAGTAACCGAACGGAAATTGCAGCCGAGAAATCGAGAATGAACATACTCACCCGCTCAAGACACCAAGAACTAAGTTCAGCATGAAGAATGAGCCAAGGACGATCAATGGTATAAAGTAAATCCAGTTGTACGTGCTGCCAAGAGCGTCGTTTGTCTGCAAATTTCACCAGACTCACGTGAAGTTCATGGTGTTACGTGTTCGAACACGGTACACCATTTACATTTAAGGAAATATTGCCACGACATTCAAACATCGACACATTTTACGCTCCTTCTCTTTCTTCGCCAAAAATAGATGACATAAGTGTTTTAATACAAGTTGTACGCCTTTATTTCGTCAATTTTTATTTTTTTTTTTTTAACACCGACGGCCGATGTCACCGTTATTTTCATTTATTACTCCGTTAATGCTTAGGACAGCAGCCGTCGAAGTGTTAACGTACGCAAAATCGAACAAACTCTTCGAGAGAACGAAGCGTAGAAAAGATACGATTAAACACCAAGAGATTTGCAAAGAGAGGGCTGAAACTGACAGTGTTATACTGAGCAAGGTGAACATATACGTCAGTGTTAGCTGTAACAATCGCAAGCGGTTCTTCTCCGGGATACTTCCGATAAACGAGTAAATAGCCGGAAGCCAAATGTTATCGGGCAAAACACATACGTGAATAAACACGGCACACAGAAGAAACAATAACGATCGAACACGATAAATTGTCACGACGAATGTCACATTTAGATATTTAATAATTGTAGGAATGAAAATAAAGGAAACGAAATAATAATCGCAGCAAGCAATCGAAGAAAGGTACATGTATATCGAATGATCGAGTAAATGAGACACGTCGAATTGGTCAGTCGATTACATCGCGGGGAAAAAGATGGTACCTTTGTAAAGAGGAGAATTGTTTAATAGTAGATATTGATTTTATGAATACGGCGTAGCAGTATTTTTTAATTAATATACGATCGCGCAAACTGGCTTAAAGACTTCGTAACTAGGACCTAGTACGTCTTAACACTAAACCTACCGGCATATAATGTGTACTTAATTCGAAATTAAAAATGAAGTTAAAACATAAATAAACAAACGACAAAACATAAATTAGTACACACATTTATTCTTAATCTTGATGAAAATCAATTCTGATTTCAAGGAATGTACTTTAACGAAATGAGTACCTTATAATAAGAAACTTGTCGAGCGGTCATTTGACCGGTTTGGTAGTTTTAGTGTTAAACGGAAGTCTGCTCGAAAAGTGACGTTTAGATATTTCAAAAGAGATATCCGATTTCGTGTGCATCTTTTTCCAAACTGCACGAAGACAGAATTTCGGAAGCTTTCCTCTATTTTTCCTTTCATACACGCGTGTAAATTTCAAAAGTTAAACTCCTCTTTCAAAGCTATCGCGTCTTTTGAACGCTTTTAAGACCGACTGACCCAGTAATGACCAACGGTAAAAGGATAATCCCCGAAGACGAAAAAACCGAAGTTTAAACGCCGAAGAGCCCACCGTGAAACACCGTTCGTGCACGAAACCCGAGATAGGAAAAAAAATGAGAAAGAAAAGGAAAAGAGGAAACAGAAAACAAGACAGAGTAGAGTTGTAACACTGAAGGACATATCTCTTGCTTTACCCAGTACAATATGGCAGTCCAGCCCTCCATAGTGATGCACTGGAAGACAGTGAGCATGGCGAATCCGATGTTGTCGAAGCTGGTGATGCCGAAATTTGGTCCCTCCCAGTGATCCATGCACGTCGAAACATTCGCGTCGCACACGTGCGCTCCGAACGGAGCCTCGGATTTGTTGTCCGTGTTACACGGACTCGGCTGTTCGCCCTCCTTCACGATTACATCTAAAAGAAAAGCATTATCGGTATTCTGCGCCGTACGATCGGTCGATAATAAGCGGCAGAAACTCGAATCGATAGCCTCTCGGAGTCGGACGAGTACCGAGGTTTCGGGATATTATATTATTACTTTAGCCGGGTTTGGCTCCCGGTTTCTTTCTCGCGATAAGAGTTCACTCACTGATATTCCTGATGCTGTAACACGTTTTATGCAACGTTCCCGAATAGAATTCGAGGCCGATGATGGCGAATATCACGATGGCGAACAGCACCAGCAGGCCGATCTGCAGAAGCGGCGCCATCGCCTTGATGATAGACTTGAGCACCACCTGGAGACCTGTATGCAAAAAATTCGCCAGGAGTAATTAGGTCTAACCAACGATTTCACGGAGCGATTCACGTGTTCTTTGTTCGACCGGTAACCGTGTCGCGTTTTCTCCATTTTTAGTCCGCTGCTCGGGGAATCGCGCGTCAAATTTCTATTCTTCTCCCAAAGCGAGGCGAACAAAAATACGTGTTTGTTTCGTTACTCGAAAGCATTCGTACGTCACGGTCATTTCTTTCTTTCTCTTGTTCGCGCGACAAACGTTCGTTTCGTTTTTTTCTCCGGTTACTCTAGCGGCTAAACAATTGGGATACTTCGTCGTTACATGGACACAGCATACAACTCTGAAAAGATAGATCTATTTGGGTGGTGCTACGTATAAACAAAATAATCGTTCTAGCGTTGCAAGGCATCTACGTGTAAATATATAGATATAAGATATAGAAATATACGATTACCGTTCATAGGTATCCGGGCACTTGGCGAATTTCGATAACTTTACATTTTACCGACTCCTCTAACGATTACGCAATTCTCTTCGGATACCGTCGCTTTCCATAGAATCGCGTTAGTCGCCGCTACAGGAATTAAAGGCGATTCGCGGACGATTAAAATGAAGGTCAATTAACGGTAATTGCTTTGGAAAAAGATAAGAAAGTGTCCGGATATTTATGAACGGCAATGTACCTGCAACAATATCGCACTACACTGATCTACGAGCTTCGTGTCTGAAAAACAATAAATGATCGGTTCGCTCGTAATAGTTTCTACGCAGTATCTAAAATCGATAAATAGAAACGTTCCGAAGGAACGGATATCCAGTCGACTCACGAAGTATCCGAATTCCAGGCGCCAGCAAATAAAAACCATCGACGCGCGTTCCTCGAGCACCGTGTGCCTCGCGTTTGCTTTCTCTAATTCAAAGTGTCTATTCAAGATGAAGAGAGAAAAAAAGAGAAACAAAGTATTCGCTCTCTCCCGTATACCGGTTAATGTTCGATCGCGAGCTATTCGGTTAAGAATCGAAATTTCAACGCTTCCCGCGCAATCTGCCAGCCAATCGATCGATTCCCGAGGAAAAACGACGGGCGAATTTAAAAGAACGAAGCGAAAGAAAGGAAATCGCTAGACAGAGACGATCAACGAGAGGCAATGATCTTTTTCGATTGGTTTCGGCTGGATTTTTCGTGGCCGATTGTATTTGAAACGCTACTCACTCGGTATGCCGGAGACAAGTTTGAGCGGTCGCAACACGCGTATCGCACGCAACGTGCGCAGATCCATATCCAGTTCTATGCCTTGCGAGAACGCCGTGATGAACCTGCCCCAAAACACACACACCCCGCCACACTTTACTACTTACTACTCTATTACACTAATACTCAGGCTACTTAAGTACTTAGACTACACAACTAGGTGGTTAACTAGCGTTTCTATGGCCTAACCCGAGGGAACTGAGGGAATGAATTTCACTCTAATGGGATGATGCTCTGGTCGAGGATCAATTCTATCTCTTTTCTTTTCTCGCGACAAAAATTTCATTTTTATCATTCCTCTAGTTAATTTGCTCGGCCACAGTCTTTGAGCTGCGGTCGCTGAAAAAGTTTCCGCGCGCTTCGTCAAACGTCCTACATTGTATAATTTCCACGCGCAGGACGATCAATAAATAATATTTATATTATTCCGTTTAGAATGATAAGTCGACCCGTAGCAGTATCGACATTTTCTATGCATGGAAATTAATAAATAAACAGTCTACTAACGTTGAAATGTTCCATGAAAAAGGCGATTAAATTTATTTCGCAATTTCAAGTCATTTCATACTGGAACAGTATACAATAACGACTTTTCTAAATGATCTTTTTAAAGATAAGCGTTTTTCGACTTTAAACGACTGATCTCGACGATAATACGAGCAATGGATACTTTATTGTTACGTTTTACCTCGAAATTGTACAATGTTAAGGAAACGTTTCTCGAAGCGTACGGGAACCGAATCGATGAATCGTACGAGTCTGTAAATTAGCAGCCGGGTTCAAGTTAAATAAGAAAATTTCAAGTAGCGTAGAATAAAAAGTAGCAGAAAGTTAGTCCGGTTTGATTGCACGACCGTACCCAAAGACAAAAGACTGAGAAGCTAGAGTCTCGATTCTCGCAGCTTTGGATTAGCTTATCGAATTAGCGCATCGCTGGATTACCTCTTAAACTATCCTCGCAAAAGGACTGAACCGAACGGTTTCGAAGGAAATCAATTTTACTTATTGTCGAAACGATCGGAATTGAATGAAAATGTGTTTAAATATCGAAAGCGTGGAAGCGGGGAGCTACAATTACCGATGGGATGTCGCTCGAAATCGCAACTTCCTTAAGAAATTTTCTGATCTCGTCAGATCCGGAAAATTTCAATTTTTAGGGATCACTTTGTCGAAAACTTGACGATGCATTTTCACGGTGACCCATCGGTAATCGAGAATGGCGTTAACTATGAGAGGTAGGTGAATGTTTTACGACGTAATTATTCGAGAAAAGAGGTACGATAGCGGATGTAGGGGAAATTGGTATTAAATTACTCGCGCGTCTTACTAATTTTAAACATCCCCGGGTATATTTCTAACGGCTGCAACTTTACTCTAACGGATGTGAAACGTAACATCCGTCGCGGTCGTTGAACTTTAGCGCGTTACAATTTTCTTATAATACGTTCCGTGACGAGTAAAATTCAATAGCCATACTTAGACGGCTGTAGTTTCATCGCTGACTAAAATAAGTTTTTTTTTTCTAGAAACAGGATTAAAATTCTTTTAATAAAGAAAGCGTTTATCAAGCACCGATTAACGATGAAATTGTCATAAATTGATGAAGAATATTTTTTTAGAAGAGTCACAAAACCACGGAACGTATTAAACTATTGACCATGTCAATTTTTAAGTAAAAATAAACTCTGTATCTTTGACGATGCAATAAAAAGCGAATAAAGTAAGAGTGAAGTAAATGTACCTTGAAAGCGTGTAAATCACGTCGTAGTTCCTTTCCGAATGATACATACCATTGTAAATAAAAAGAAAATAAAGTTGTTCGATAAATTTATTTCAGTGTCCAGTTAACGGCGTGGAAACCATAAACGACCACGACGAACCTTCAAAGGTAACAACACCCTAAACGTAACTATGCTTGTTCGAGCCCTAATTCACGCCACTAGTCCATATAATCTACGAACGAATAAAAAGCAAGGATATAAGGATTTCTTAAACTAGAGGATCCACGAAATCTTCGTTCACGTCTCAAGAGGTGAATCCATACCCCCGATGCTTCCAAAGATCGACAACGTTTTCGTATCCCAATGCTTCTGCTGCAATGTTCTTTTTCTATTGTTTTTCATAAATGGTACAAAAGAGAGAAGTTTCGAGGGAAAAGGAGTACGTGGAAGGTCACCTCGGTAAGGTCTAAAGAAAATCTCTAGGTCTAGAAGTCTCGGTCTCTCGAGGCTGTCTAAAAGGTACGACTTTTCTATCATAGCAAACACGAGCTTGCTCGAATACTTTACTTGCTCTATAACACGTACCTATTTGTTTGTACTCAACTTGTAATCAATTCTATCAGTCACGGACTGCTAAATTAACAACGACACCCGCAAGCTAATACTGTTTCTGTGTTTCTTTCTTTTGTTTCATCTTTTTTTTTCGTGATCGTGTACGTGTATGATTATCGAGTGGACGCAAATCTCATTACAACTGCCGTTGAAAGAAACTTTACCTTTTATGTACTATAGCAAATTTCGGCGAAAGTTTTTTCGCGTTGAAATTTTGAATTCTTCCCCCGTTATTTCTTCCCGCGACTATTCGTTGAAATTTCCAAAAAATCGCTTTTACGTTTCTTTTCCTTTTCCTTGTAGCGACGTACACGAGAATACGTGGGCAGAACGTAATAATAGGATTCCGAATGTTATCACGAACTTTTGCTAGCGAAAAGTCAAAGATTCTCTCTTCCGTGTGTGTAACGTGCGTGTGTGTCTAATTCGGCGTTTTCGAAAACGCTCTAAAAGTACGAACAACTTGTGCATATATAGAAGACAGATCTAAAATAACTCAATAATAAATGCTAGAGACTAATTGTTCACGCAACTCTTCTATAATGTTATAGAGAGAGACAGTATAGAGTTATATATTACGTGTAAAATGTATGTAGAGACACTGGAGATTACGCAAACCACGTGGATACAGAATATATAATATATATGTATAATAAACATATGTATAATTGAGTTGAATTAATATCGATCAACTGTTAACGATCATCTAGCGTCAATCAACTGATCTAATACACCCATAGCCTCTAAAGTGGTGATGGTCAATCAACGATCAAACGGAACGCAACGCTCAAAACGACACGTTTCAATCGGGAAAACTAAAGAAGGAAACTAAAAAGGATGGAAACTAAGGTATAGATTAATAGAAACACTCGACGCATCTACAGAGTGAATCGTTACAGATTGGTATCTTTAACAATCGCTTCGTTACAGCCGTTGCAAGAAATTTTTTAGGACTATTTAGGATCGTATAGGATCTTTTCAGAACTGTTATTTGCCTTTAAATTAATAGCTTTAGATCCAGGAGCAAGAATATTTTCTTTGATAGACTTAGATTGTCTATTGACAATCATTCATAATGTATTTGCAGCAAAAATATTCTATATTCTGAGATCGATGGAAGGGTAATAATGAAAATTGTTTTACGGAATAGGGGTACGATATTGCAGACAAAAGGGTAACTTGATAATATCGACATCGAAGCAGTTTGTTTAGAATACAAAGTTATAACGATTCAGCCTGTATACAGGGTTTAGCTTCGATCGTGGTACAATCGTAGATGGGATGATTTTTTAATTAAGAATGACTCGCGGAAAAAATACTGTTGCAATGATATTATTCGTAGCAAGAATTTCAGACTCGTTAGTTAAGTATCTATGAACAATTAAAAGCTTCGTAAGTGGATAGTTTCAAAGAATTAAAAGAGACTATCTAACTGCAAAGATTGTATTTACAATGATCGTAAGCTTGCAAAAATATAATATATACGCGTTATTCAAGCCCGTAAATTGCGAGTCTATCCCAATAAAGAAAAACGCGTAATTAATTATCTTCGTCTGACCTAAAACTCGATAAAGAAATTTCATTTATTTTCACGCGGAAAATTATCCCATTTATGACGGTACTACGAAGCGAATCTGCAGACCCCGTACTAGAACGTCGAGTACACACGCAGATACTGGTATATTAAGTTAGCTGATGCCGGTCTTGCTTGCCAGAACTAAAAAACGTCCACCCAACGTGTCAACTAAAGCAAATAGAGAGACAGAGAAAGATAGACAGACAGATAGACAGACAGAAACTGACAGAGAAGCTAAAATGATCGACGGGACACTAATAGTGTGTATCTGATTAAAATAATGTCAAGAAACGTTTAAAACTAACAAGGAGACACTAGTCGAACGCACAAACAAACTGCCAGGAGCAACGGGGATATAAGAATAAAAAGACTTCAAGTTGGTTTATAGTAGTGGATAAATCAATCAGCTGATCGACTGAGTTCTCTGTTACTGCACTCTGTGTTTATACTGTTTATACTGTTACAATGGCGGCATTTGCAAATCATTTGCCGCCTTTTGCGCACAACTTTTGTCTAGACTCACTTGGAATTTTCGAAACCAGCTTTAGCGGTCTGAGGACCCTGAAGGAACGTAGCATACGCAGGTCGACGTCCACGTTTGTTTCGGCGAACACGGTCATCGACCTAATCCAAGGATTACTCTAGAATCTATCTGTTCGGCAGTAGAAACCGATCGACGTGTTTTTTTCTTTTTTTTTTTCTTTAAATCTTATGCTTATGGAGAAAGATCCTTTCCGTTTTTCATCGTCGCTGAACGATCAACTTATTCTATTTTTATCATTGTTTCCAACGCGTTCGATGCAGCGTTAAAATGGCCGTACTTAAATTACGAAAATATAACGCGAGGATCTTATTTTCATCGATTCCTTTCGGATACAGAAGTATATAAAATTTGCAAAAGCCGGTCGTCGATGACGTTCAACGGCGGCATGGAACGCGTGAAAGAATAAATCATAAAACGCAGCGAGCGATCGACGAAGAGAGGCTTTCCCCTTAAACGGGTTGGTCACTCGATCGCGTGTATCATTTTTTCAGTTTGTTTCGTTCATATTTGTACGGACATTACGCGTTTTGGGGAACCTGACCAAGAGACATTCTTCTCGTCCACTGTTTTCCTCTCCGTGTTGTCTGTTTCGCTCGAACACCGTGTTTCGAGGTGGACAAGAGTGTCGATAAAAAGGGTAGACAGAGAGAGAGAAAGTGTGGAAAGAGCAAGAATGCGCTCGTTCGTATATACGGAGGAGAAAACGAGGGAGGGAACGAGTGAGTTTGGTTGAATCGTGACCGTGACAACGCACGATGAATGAGAGTATAAAGGTGGAACGATATAATGACCAGTGGTGAGTTTTCGCGAATCGTTTGCAAATCCCTCTTTTCGGTCGAACATCGCTAATCACGATCAAATTTCCTGTATTGGGTATTCTACGATCGTACTGCAGGAGGTGTATTTATGTGTCTATAAAATATTTTCAATCTTCAAATGATCGATAATTATAGCGTTCTTACTGTCACTCGACATACAGGATTTTGATCGCGCAAAACAGAAAAAAAGGACAAAAAGTAATAAATAGTTTTTCGGTTCCTCGGTGTTCGAACTATGCATTCCGCTGTAAACGATTCTTCAAACTATACACACCACCTGAAGTAATATTTGATTCGCAAAATTACCCCGTACAAAGACACTATTCGTCCGTTAGAATCAATGTTGAAATTCGAAAGCTCGCGACACCGAAAACAGGGATTACCGTTGGTTGAAGTTAATTCGAAAGACCGTAATATACAAAAGAAGAATAAAAAGAAAAAGAAAAAGAAGGAGAAGATAAGATAGAAAATGGTTCTCTCACCCGGTCACCACGACGAAGAAATCCATGATGTTCCAGATGTTGCGCAGATAAGAGCCACGGTGGAGGACGAAGCCAAGGGCGAGGATCTTGAGGCTCGCCTCGACGCAGAAGATCCCGAGGAAGTAGATTTCCGTGGCCTCGAGCTTCTGTGCGAGTATGGTCTTGTCGTGCTTCGGCAGGTGCTCCTCGAGGGCGAGGACCACGCAATTGGCGATGATGGTGAGCAGGACGGCGTACTCGAAGGGCGGCCACTCGATTATGAAGCGCGTGTGCTTCCTGATGCAATTATCCTCCGACAGGATAAACAACGACGTGGTGCCCTTGCCGCCTCCCCCACCGCCACCCGCCCCTCCGCCCTGATCCCGGCCTGGCGCCATGTCCACCAGACCAGGTACCTAAGAGCATTCGCATTTTTCTCTTACCACGAACGTCGAAACAGATTCGACGCGAAAAATCGGAACAGAAAGATACGTAAGAGGGAAGAAATGCGTGAAACGAGGTAAAATAATTCGCGAACAGGGTGAGCGACATGGTAAGAGGAGAAGCCGCAATTAACGAATATCTCAGACGAAGCTTTTTCAAGCCGAGCTGCCTCTTACCTCCCCTCCAAAGCTAGTCCAGTCACCGAGACCACTCAGTCCGGCCAACCTCGGCCTTCTCCTGTACTGACTCGCGTATCCAGGGTCCCTTTGTGCCGCCTCTTGCGCTGCCAACCTGCAAAATATACGATACCGAAGGTGTTAACCAGCGAACACCGCTCGAAGCAGATTAACGACGCGCGGTTGTAAACGGTACGTTACATCCTCGTTATCGCTGAACGAAATCGCCGTTTCGCCTATAACCGTGATTAATACGACCAGCGATATCTAATTATTAAATTGACCCGTAGTTGTTTCCCGTACAGCAATCGATATCGATGTGGAAATTTAGCAATTTTATAGCATGCGGTTGTATCGGTCCTACTTAGTTTTTGTTACGGGACGAATAAAACTCAAACTGTCGAGTTTATTAAAAATGCTAATATTTTAGTTCGCTATTATAAGTTAGTTGTGGAAACTCGTTAAACTCCTCCATAAACAAAGTATTAACTGGAACGAATTCCATCGCTGAGCGACATGTACTCTTGAAATCAGCTGATTTCCTGCAGATGTCCTGCGAGAGAGCTGGTTAATGACTGACGCGGGCACGTAACGCGTCGCTACGATTAATTAACTGCATTAGCCGAGACTTTTGCGAAGCTACGATCCCTCTGTATGCACGATCTTTCCTCGTAGGAAAGTGCAATCAAGGTAGCCGGTAATGCAATAACTGGTAACAAGGATCCCTGGTTGCATGTCCGCGAGGCGTCGCGTCGGATATTGGAACGTGTACAGGGTGTCTTAAAAAACAGCGTTCCGTTAACAGGAGGTTCAACACTAGCTGTCGTCGCCAAATCGCGCGTAACGTTTACTCGAAGATTCGTAAGGGAGGTACAGGTACGCGGCGTTGCTTGTAAGCTGTAACAGCGATCGTTACACCGATAGTAACGTCGTTACCATTATTACGACATCGTGGCTGACTGATAATGCCATGTTAATGCGTTTCGTGCGTAGGAAGCACCGCGTGGGTGGTAAATTATCCTTGTCAACGGTAATGGACTTCGTATCTGTGGTTTGGTGTATTAAATTAAATCGCTATTAATTGGTCGTGTCGTTCGGGCGCCATGTCCACCAGACCAGGTACCTAAGAGCATTCGCATTTTTCTCTTACCACGAACGTCGAAACAGATTCGACGCGAAAAATCGGAACAGAAAGATACGTAAGAGGGAAGAAATGCGTGAAACGAGGTAAAATAATTCGCGAACAGGGTGAGCGACATGGTAAGAGGAGAAGCCGCAATTAACGAATATCTCAGACGAAGCTTTTTCAAGCCGAGCTGCCTCTTACCTCCCCTCCAAAGCTAGTCCAGTCACCGAGACCACTCAGTCCGGCCAACCTCGGCCTTCTCCTGTACTGACTCGCGTATCCAGGGTCCCTTTGTGCCGCCTCTTGCGCTGCCAACCTGCAAAATATACGATACCGAAGGTGTTAACCAGCGAACACCGCTCGAAGCAGATTAACGACGCGCGGTTGTAAACGGTACGTTACATCCTCGTTATCGCTGAACGAAATCGCCGTTTCGCCTATAACCGTGATTAATACGACCAGCGATATCTAATTATTAAATTGACCCGTAGTTGTTTCCCGTACAGCAATCGATATCGATGTGGAAATTTAGCAATTTTATAGCATGCGGTTGTATCGGTCCTACTTAGTTTTTGTTACGGGACGAATAAAACTCAAACTGTCGAGTTTATTAAAAATGCTAATATTTTAGTTCGCTATTATAAGTTAGTTGTGGAAACTCGTTAAACTCCTCCATAAACAAAGTATTAACTGGAACGAATTCCATCGCTGAGCGACATGTACTCTTGAAATCAGCTGATTTCCTGCAGATGTCCTGCGAGAGAGCTGGTTAATGACTGACGCGGGCACGTAACGCGTCGCTACGATTAATTAACTGCATTAGCCGAGACTTTTGCGAAGCTACGATCCCTCTGTATGCACGATCTTTCCTCGTAGGAAAGTGCAATCAAGGTAGCCGGTAATGCAATAACTGGTAACAAGGATCCCTGGTTGCATGTCCGCGAGGCGTCGCGTCGGATATTGGAACGTGTACAGGGTGTCTTAAAAAACAGCGTTCCGTTAACAGGAGGTTCAACACTAGCTGTCGTCGCCAAATCGCGCGTAACGTTTACTCGAAGATTCGTAAGGGAGGTACAGGTACGCGGCGTTGCTTGTAAGCTGTAACAGCGATCGTTACACCGATAGTAACGTCGTTACCATTATTACGACATCGTGGCTGACTGATAATGCCATGTTAATGCGTTTCGTGCGTAGGAAGCACCGCGTGGGTGGTAAATTATCCTTGTCAACGGTAATGGACTTCGTATCTGTGGTTTGGTGTATTAAATTAAATCGCTATTAATTGGTCGTGTCGTTCGCTTCCGGACCGTCCTTAGTCCGAAGATTTTCCGCGTTTCGCTCTCGGTTTGAAAACCGAAAAAGACGAAATTCGAGGAAATCTATCCATTGCACGCGTTCAAGATTCAATGGTAGAACAACTTGAAATGTCAATGACAATGTTGTATAGATCGAGGAAGCGGAACGAATGTCTGTCTCCGTTTCAATAAGTCTCGGAATTAATAGCTATCTGGCATAGTCGTAACGAAACGGGGACACGGTTTCAAGAAGCGGACCCTTTGCCATTACGAATCGTGTATTATTCGATTACTCTCGTTATACCGGGGTAAAAAGGCATCGAGTTCTGACCGTCTCGAAAGAATCTAAAGAGTACTTTAGGAAGATCGCGAATGCCGCTATTATCGATTGAAAATATGCATATTCCGGCACAGTATGCCAGCGTACGCGTTACGGATACCGATAAGTATCGATAATTTCTAACGTCGTTCGAACCGAATAGCCAGCGAACCAGGAGAAAGGCTTTTAAACGAAGCGCAACATCGGACAGACAGTTCAATTTTGGCCAAAGAAATTTCTAAACGAATTTAAAGCACCTCAATTTAAATACCAGCACGGTATACAAAGTCATTAAACGCGAAGAAACGCGGTCGAATCGAAAGCAACTTCTCGTACCAGATTGCCCGTTCGTTTCTACTTCCAACCGAGCGTCTCTGAATTATTAAAATCGAGACTTGGAATAATTGATAAAGCTCGCCCCGTCACGGAAAGATCGATAATACTCTCGAAAATGAGTCTACGTTGCTTTTCAACGATTTACCAGAGATACGACTAATTCCCATTTTCTTGCGTCGTGCGAATCGTTATCGTCGCGACAGCAACAAGTGTAACGAACTGGTGACCGTGTACGGTACATATTTTCTCGTCAGCAGATAACGCGTTAAAAAAGTGCGTTCCTGAAATAACGAATATCGAGATCGATAACTTTCCGAAACACGTAATATTGTATAATTACGTCGTAACGTATGGAAGAAGTCGAAAAATCTTTGCAGGCTAATAATTACGTATTAACTTCCCTGTGGTTTGGTGTATTAAATTAAATCGCTATTAATTGGTCGTGTCGTTCGCTTCCGGACCGTCCTTAGTCCGAAGATTTTCCGCGTTTCGCTCTCGGTTTGAAAACCGAAAAAGACGAAATTCGAGGAAATCTATCCATTGCACGCGTTCAAGATTCAATGGTAGAACAACTTGAAATGTCAATGACAATGTTGTATAGATCGAGGAAGCGGAACGAATGTCTGTCTCCGTTTCAATAAGTCTCGGAATTAATAGCTATCTGGCATAGTCGTAACGAAACGGGGACACGGTTTCAAGAAGCGGACCCTTTGCCATTACGAATCGTGTATTATTCGATTACTCTCGTTATACCGGGGTAAAAAGGCATCGAGTTCTGACCGTCTCGAAAGAATCTAAAGAGTACTTTAGGAAGATCGCGAATGCCGCTATTATCGATTGAAAATATGCATATTCCGGCACAGTATGCCAGCGTACGCGTTACGGATACCGATAAGTATCGATAATTTCTAACGTCGTTCGAACCGAATAGCCAGCGAACCAGGAGAAAGGCTTTTAAACGAAGCGCAACATCGGACAGACAGTTCAATTTTGGCCAAAGAAATTTCTAAACGAATTTAAAGCACCTCAATTTAAATACCAGCACGGTATACAAAGTCATTAAACGCGAAGAAACGCGGTCGAATCGAAAGCAACTTCTCGTACCAGATTGCCCGTTCGTTTCTACTTCCAACCGAGCGTCTCTGAATTATTAAAATCGAGACTTGGAATAATTGATAAAGCTCGCCCCGTCACGGAAAGATCGATAATACTCTCGAAAATGAGTCTACGTTGCTTTTCAACGATTTACCAGAGATACGACTAATTCCCATTTTCTTGCGTCGTGCGAATCGTTATCGTCGCGACAGCAACAAGTGTAACGAACTGGTGACCGTGTACGGTACATATTTTCTCGTCAGCAGATAACGCGTTAAAAAAGTGCGTTCCTGAAATAACGAATATCGAGATCGATAACTTTCCGAAACACGTAATATTGTATAATTACGTCGTAACGTATGGAAGAAGTCGAAAAATCTTTGCAGGCTAATAATTACGTATTAACTTCCTATACTAAACATTTGCGAGTTAAAATTAAATATCGAACAAATATTTACATGCTTTGCAGATTAAAAAATAACAATTCTGTAGAGAGAGATCTACGCGGTGTTCGTGATCTTTGTTGCCCTCGTTAAACAGCGCGTGCTGTATATTTCGATTATTCAAGGCTCGATTCCATTTTGTTGTCGCTATGAATCGACGAATCGAAAAAGTTCCCTTTTTACACGGTTTTATACCTTCGTTTATGAACGTTCGAGTTCGTGGAAAGCCTGGAATCCTGTTTATTGAAAGTGCTCGCGTCGGATCAGAGTTCAGTAGAATCGGTCGGCTAATGGTCAGACTAATACCGTTACCAAAATCCGATCTAATTGAAACGTTCCACGAATTGATGATTCGGTTTCAGTTTCTCCCTCAATGTCGAAAGAGGTGCATTTTCACCTTCCGAATATCGATAACACCGATCCGAAGATTACGAAAAGATTTTCCAAAGTACGTGCTATGATAAATACGTTTTTTTCGTTGTTAATAACGACTTAGCAAAGTTCGCGACGAATCCTTACGAGGGAACAGGATTTCGTAAGCTGAATTTTCGTACCTTTCGTAGCATGAACGAAGAACGTTTACGTTAACGAACAAGACACTGGTTTTCGATCGTTTCGCTTCGCATCCCAGCCGATAGAGAAAAGTTGTAGCGTCGAGGAGCATAGAGATTAGTGTCTATTCACAGCAACTGGGACGACACTTAAAAGTTTATTATGGCTCATCAGTTATCGACGATACTTCTCAAGAGTTATTAATATCTTTCGGGAAATCAATATGAAAGACGTGACACGCGGCGCTCGGACGGATCCCCTTGAAAATTGTTGTATCGGTGTGCATGATTCTCGCGTTACCCCTTTCAGAAGTCGTTTAGTCAGCCACCGCCACTCGACTCCTTTATTCCTCGTGTCTCTCCCTTTCTCTCTCTCTCTCTCTCTCCTCGAGAAAACATCCTTTAAATTCTACGTTTAATAGCGTTTTATAGATTCCTTCTACGTTTCTTTATTCGCGCCGTGATCGATAGATTGTTCGAATGAATTGTTTCTTCTGAATTTGGCTTTACAGTAACAGTCGCACGGTACAGAAACGATCAATCGAGAAAACAGACCGACCTCGTGGTTTAAGAGCGAAGACGAAAATAAAAACCGAATGTTTTTTAGTCCATTTAACGGTTTCCGACTTCGCTGTGATATCCTACATCGCGAATGCTCCGAAGCCACAAAGCATGGGTTGCTCTCTCCGCACGGAATAGTCCTCTCGGTGTATCGGAATATTTCCAGCCTCTCGAAGCTAATTGTAGCGGTCGAGGCTGACGATATAGAAGCTAAATCCGATGTCGTTGAAATATCTAGATAAGTTCCATATTTTCTAACGATCGGAACAGTCTGTTTCGTCAAAGTACCCCGAGAGAAAGGTGAGCAGTAAATATCCACATTTACTATCGAACAGAGTAGCCTTAAATCCCGAACTACAATACTATTCGAGTATTCGGATAAGTTTCGCATAGAGGCACGAATTGGCCCGGCGTCTCGAATAAGGTAGGGAGGCAACGTACGACTAAATATACAGTGCTCCAGCACCGATTCATCCTTGAAACACGGCCCACGCGCTACGAATAGAAGTTAACGTTCAACCGACGGAACGGTCGAGAGGAAGAGATTCGAGCGGAAGAAAGGGTAGAGGGCAAAAGAAGAGGGAGTAGAGAAGGGTTGGAATTGGCGGGCAGCTAAGGATAGTAGCTCGTGTGATACTGCCCTGAATCGCAGGGATCGAATCGCTGCTATGATCCATGTGCGCGATCATAAGGGCAACAAATCAATTTTTGGAAAT